AACGAGATTTTGATTAAAACAAACAACAAAATATAACACGAACTAAAAGTAATGAATCGATTTAACATTAAAACAAAATACTTAATTATCAATAATTGTGCGTGTGATAAAGGGTAGGTAAATTAGTCATTATATTTTAGACAAATCATGTTCATTAGAAATGTAAATCACTTTAGATGAGTCACTCTTGCGTATTAGGATCTTACAATCGGAAAGCCATACATACTTAAAGCCCCTATACTTAGCGAGGTCGCGAACTTTTTTAAATAAAATTTTATTTTGTGGGGTAAGGTGGTCGTTGGCGAAAATCGGCTTTGATGGACCGTCCAGGCCTGCGTCGACAGTTGTTAATCCACGCCGTTTACGAACCGCTGCGAGCATCTCATTTTTACGGTACCTTTGTATAAATCGAACGATTATGTTAGGAATGGTGGATGATTGTTCTGAAGGCTGGTCTTCAACCAACTCCGTACCGCTCTTAATATTTGATGCAAAACGAGAAATCTATCTTCGCAGCTATGTTGTTTACAATAGTTACTAGATTTTCGCCTTTAAGAACAGGTACTCCGGATATCTCGAGATTATTATGTCTGCCCTGCTGTTTCTTGACACATAGTTGATCAGATAAGGATTGTATTGTTTGTTGCATTTCCAGTGTTTTTTTAGTGACTGAGTCGACTTTTTGTGTATTTACCACGCTGGGCGACTTTAACTCTTGTATTTCACTCTTTATAGCAGAACATTCAGTTGCTAAATTTATAAACTTCTTGTTCATATCCTGCATATCCTGCTTGAACACACTGAAATCATTATGTAAGGCATCCAAAGTTTCTCTTATATTTTTATTTTGGATTTCTAGTGTGGAGGTAAAAGAGGCCATCAGATTATTTTGAAATTGAAGTAACTTATTGTCCAAATCACAACTAGATTCCGGTGTTTTTCTTATCCTAAGAGGTATATTACAAATAGTGTCTTCACGTAATTTAGACAAGTCGGGATGTGATCCAGTTGTTCCAAGGGGTGGGCTTCTTTGTACGCTCATTTTTTTTTATTATTATTATTGTTGGAGGTAACACGATACGACACGAGATGTAAGCTTCTTGATCGAAAGCAATGCCCAGTATTCGAATTATACACTCAATTCACCTTTTTTTTGCAAACAAACAAAATAGGCCTTATTATTAAAGTTTCATCACAATTTCTAACTAGATAATTCAGCTTAAGTCAATGGTAATCACTCAAACTTCGGATAAGACCACGACCACGTCCGAACCGAACGAATGTCGAACAAAAAATCGATCGGATATAAGGATATCTCTCTGCCAATGCTTCCAGGACTACCACCGTTGTCATGTGAGACTTCAACGCAAGTCTAAGTAAACGCGGCGATATTGAGTTAAAAGTGAGAAAATTTGTAACTGGAAACAGAGCAACCGATCCCCGAATGGTAAGAGGCACATTGAATCCTACTAATATTATAAATGTGAAAGTTCGTTAAATCTCGCAAAAACTAGTGACCGGATTTGGATAAAAATTGGTACGCATATAGTTCATGACCTGGATTGAGACATATGATACTGTTTATCTTGGAAATATGTTAGCTTCCTATGGGATTCTAAATATCCCTCTCTTTAAGGCTGGTGACAAATCAGATCCCAGCAATTTTAGGCCTATATCTGTATTACCAGCGCTAAGTAAAGTATTTGAGAAAATAATTTATAACCAATTACTAGCACACTTTTCTATAAATAAGCTATTTCATTTAAAACAGTTTGGTTTCACTAGAGGCAAAAGTACTACTGATGCTGGAACTGCACTTCTCAAACACATCTTTGATATATGGGAGAGTAAGCACGATGCTATTGGCATTTTTTGCGACTTATCAAAGGCGTTTGACTGCGTTAGCCATGAAACATTGTTAAATAAAATGAAGCGTTATGGTGTATCAAATATTTCTCTAAGTCTGATACAGTCTTATCTTTCTGCTAGGATTCAGAAAGTAGTTATAAATGAAGCTGAGTCTACAGGAGCACCCATTTCTATGGGCGTGCCCCAGGGTTCAATATTGGGCCCATTGCTTTTCCTTATTTATATCAATGACCTTCCTCACTTTACAAGAGATTTGTGTGAGACAGTACTATTTGCTGATGACACCTCTTTATTGTTTAAAGCTAGAAGAGGAAATGATTGTTATGACGAAGTAAATTGTGCTCTCTCTGAAGTCCTTCACTGGTTTACGGTAAATAATTTAAAACTTAACTCCAGTAAAACAAAATGCGTTAAGTTTACTCTACCTAATGTGAGGCAGGTTAATACTAGTATAAAAATAAATGACCAGCCTGTGGAGTTAGTGGATTTTACAAAGTTTCTGGGTATTACTTTAGACTCTCGTCTGCAATGGGATCCTCATATTGATGCCTTGTCAAGTAGATTGAGCTGTGCAGCTTTCGCTGTTAAAAAGATAAGACTCTTAACTGATGTGGAAACGGCAAGATTAGTTTACTTTGGTGACTTTCACAGTGTTATGTCATATGGCCTTTTGTTGTGGGGCTCAGCCGCTAATATCGAAAGTATTTTCATACTGCAAAAGAGAGCTGTTCGCGCCATATACAATTTAAAGGCAAGAGAATCCCTTAGAGAAAAATTTAAAGAAATTAATATTTTAACACTGGCGTCGCAATACATTTATGAAAATTTAATATATGTAAGAAAAAACTATGATGAATTTGCAAAAAAAAGTCAAACCCATAACTTTAACACGAGATTTAAGAACAAGCTTGCCGTTCCATGTTTCAGACTCCAAAAATCAAGAGGTTCATTTCTGGGTTGTAGTATTGCATTGTTTAACAAAGTTCCCCAAGATCTGATTGAGCTTCCACTGACTAAATTTAAATCTCAGATCCAAAATACTCTTATGAATAAAGGCTATTATAAAGTTGATGATTATCTAAATGATCGTAATGCATGGACATAGTGTTTCTTATAATTTGATATTAAATGGGTATTACTCATTTTTCATAACAGTAATATTGTACCTATCTAATGCCGCTTCCTATATACTACTTAAAATGTTAACTATAAAATTAATTGTAACTATTTATATTCTAGATGATGTAATGGAAAGTGACTTCAGACGTATTTCTGAAGTAATTTTTCAAATTGATGACACTGTATATAACAATACAGGGAGAAAAAAACAGCCCTTGCTGAGTTTCTTGCCGGTTCTTCTCAGTACAAGGTCTCCCGCCGTAGTTTTGCGAACCGATGGCGTAGCTTCTTGACCTTCACAAGTGCTTGTAACAGCCTAGACTGAATAAATGACATTTCATTTCATTTCATTTCATTTCATTTCATTTCATTTCATTTCATTTCATTTCATTTCATTTCATTTCATTTCATTTCATTTCATTTCATTTCATTTCATTTCATTTCATTTCATTTCATTTCATTTCATTTCATTTCATTTCATAAAACAAAAAAAATTAACGCGACCGGCGGCCGCCAGTCTTAATATAAAACCCGAAAGACATCGACTGATGAAGTCCACGCTCCGCCCTGAAGCCATTCAGATCCCAAACCCCGAACACTTTCAATTGAAACTGCAAAATCGCTTTGATTGTCTGGAGGACAGCGCGGATATGGACGCGTACAATTGAAATTGTAGAAAAAATAATACAGACAGGTTTGTGAAAGGTGTTCGCTTCGTACAGTAGGTTCAAAGTTCTTCAAAACAAAAGAGAGAAGAAAATGTCTGAGCCGACACAAAGGCTAATGGAAGCAAGACAAGCAATAGTTCTGCAATCTTCTGATGCTCATCGAAGTGCAGCAGCTTAATAAACAGATCTCCAAGTCTTTCACTCGCGATATAGGCCAATTTGATACAGTACGTATTGGGGTAACTATCGAGCGGAACGAGGGGTCCAAAGTGTTCTATTTGTCACTTAGACAGAGCTTGCTGACAAAGCTGACGACAAATAACGATAAAATCATAGCATCCAGAACCGAACATTTTGTATCATAGTAATGGCTCAGACACTGGAAGACAATAGTACCGGCTTGATGACCTATGACCCCAAGAAGTGGGTCTTAAAATGAACATAGAGAAGACGAAAATTGTCTAATTCCCCTAACTCCCCTTTCCGATCTCATATCGCCCTTAATTTATATTTCCTCTTTTTTGTATTCTCTTCCTTTTGAAATTGGTACTTCTTCATCTTCTTGCAACGGGCGTTTCCGCAACTTGACGTCCTTATGGGGCCCTTTTTTGCGTGAGTAGGGTGTGTAGCCAAAATCACTCCAGCCAGCCCAGCTCCGTCAGGAACGCCCCCAGGGCCTTCACATTGGTGACTGCCTCTTGGAGATTTCCCGGTGAGCCGAAGTATTTTGTCATCCTTACTTTCTTTGTCAACTCTTCGTGGTCATTTATCTAATCACAATATTGTAACTCTGCATTAAAATTTCGCTGCATACCTGTTTAGGGCATACCATTAATCACGTGATACTCGAAAAGAAGGGGGGTGTCGGAAAAATTCACGAAATATCACAACGGGGTTCATCATATACCTAATGAGATATCACGTGTGTTTTTCGTTGAACGTATGTTCAATATACGATATTTCGTATTTGAATGGGAGGTACCTATGAATGATACGATATTATTGTTTTTTTACTTACTTTTTTCTTTTTATGCCTATAAAAAGCAACCTGTATCCATAATGATGATCTGGATATTTTTATCATGACGTTAATTTTTAAAATAAGATTATAACTACCTTCCCGTATTTCAAGATAATCTGCTATAAATTTCTGTATAATTCGTATTAAAAAAATACACGTGATTTTGGGTACCTGTGATATTATGCCCATACCCAAAATCAACAATTACACCCAGGTCTAGATCCTGGGGGAAGGGGTTTAAAAGTTGCTAAAAACATCACGTTAATGGACGACCAATTAATTAAACTCCTTTGTTGAAAATATCGGTTTGTGTAAAACAATAGGTGATACATCGGCGTGACGACTACGGTATACCAGCTGAGAACTTCAACCGGGACTGGAGCGACTACAAAAACGGCTTCGGGGACCCGGGCAAGGAGTTCTGGCTCGGCAACGAAAACATATACATGCTCACCAACAATGACGACTACATGCTACGCGTGGAGCTTGAAGATTTCGATGGAAACAAGCGGTAAGTTTTTAACCGATGTCGTTTATTAAAGTAGCAAATTCAGGGTCGTCTAGAAGATATTGTGGTAGGTCAGTGAACGAACGCGGATCTAGAAGCTTAATGCTCGTGAGAAGAATAAATAGATATATTGTTTTAAACTTTCATGGTCACTAACATTATAGTAATATAAGTTATTTTCGGGATTGTTACCACGTACCTTGTTTTAGCGAGTTTCCGATATTTGGCACTGTTGCAAGCGCCATGATCACGGAGTAATAATCAGATGCTCAGAATTAAAGTAAAGATTACAATATTCGTACAATTTTGTTTAATAAATTTCGTAATTACAATAATCAATTTTTAAATCGATTCTGAGTTTTGTAATAAATATCAGCCCGATATATCAATGCGTTCTTTATAAAACGAACAAATAACAAAGTAATAAGGATTAGTTTTTCAAAGTACGGAAATCTCGAATCGAATGTAGATGCACCTCCTTTTTTGAAATCGGTTGCTAATATCATCAACAAAGTGATTGAAATTAATGAGATTAACTATAACTTATCTTCCTTAGAAGTATAAAATTAGTTTTACTATAAACTTACACAACTCTTAATAATAAAATAAAAAAGTAAGTAGATAGGCAATGGATAACATTCGAGTTTAACGTAGCGAAAATTTTATATTTTATTAAGATGAAGTGTTTATGTGAATATGTAAAGGTTACGCAGCCTTTAAAGAATCTCACGTAAATTAACATTCCGTTGACCCAGTTACGCTAGGTACCTAACTATATTTGACTAAGCTATCTCCAATCTTTCATACAAATCTATATTTATAAAATGAATCCCTGTTTCCCTTGGTTACACCATTGCTTAAAACTGAATCATTTATCAATTGCATCAAAGTGTATTTAATGCTTTGTAGAAAGTTCTAAGGAAAAAATAAGACAGTTGCACTAAATATTAGTGCTATCGATAAGATCAGTAAGTATTATTTACATATTTTTTAGAAAATAGCATGCAAAGTTTTCTTTACATTTTTGAAGTGATAACTTCTTTAGCGGCGTTGTAAACTTTTTTTTGTATGGGTTAAAAATGTTAAACTCGCGTCAGGACACGTGACCTAATCGAAAATTCATAAGACGAAAACAATAAAATTGTAAAGGTTGAAGACTTTCAATACATTGGACGAAAAATAGTAATATTTTATTTTATCGTATTATATTAATAGATCTCTATCTAGGACGTCCAGGTGGCAGCTTTATTGCGAAGAAAATGCTTTTTTTACAATAGATGTCGCTAGGTACATTTAAATGTGATTCATTTAAGTTGATTTTTCTGTGCGATAAACTTTTTAATGTAATATAAAATTTCATGTTTGTGTACGATAGCGCAATAAATAAATGTTGTATTCTACCACATAAATTATAGTTCTTTTATACTGATAATTAAAGCAATTCATGCAAAATTATTCCCTAACCATTCCAAAATATCAAAAATGCACAACGTTAATATTCAAGTCTTTTGCCGGCACTCCCGGAGTGCAACCTGTCGCTTTTTTCTTGAGTTAATTAAGGTAATGACTTTTGAGTTATATTACCTAAATGAAGTACTTTTTTTATTGCAAAATCGTTTAACTTGTATTTATAACATATTAAGCTTAAATGACAAAAAGCCTTAAATAATGATAAACTTACTGCCCGAATTGTTATTGAAATTTAAAGTTCCCGTTGAGCTAAAAATATGGCGGTTAGATCGTATTGTAGTAAGCGCTCATCGTGCTAGTTCCGAATAAATATTTTACTCAATTCCATCAAGAAAGGATTTACTGCTCTTATCGGTAGCACGGCGGTATGGCGAAGCTATTATTTTAAAGTGGTTCTATAATCAACTACATTAAAAGGAGGTTATCGTTAATCACTACAAAACAGATCACAAAGGACTTATTTTTTGCTTATAACCAAAACAGTGCAGAAATTCTGTATGAAATCTCATTTTTGCACTGATTTGGCATTAATGCACTGTTTTTATCCTACCTTACCTTTACCACAGATATTGAATGTCTCCCACGATAAGATAAAAAAGATACTGGCTGGTTACTGGTCAACTTGATAAGTCACTTTGTAACAGTTAGTTCTTGTTTTGTATAATAATTGAAATCAGCATCGACGCGAAGTTAACTTAGTTTGAAAAAGCTGTTTGTAAGTTACTCTGGGATGTTATCGGTCTATCTGAAGTCCGAAGAGAGGGAGAGGACTTGGTAATCCTCAATTCTGTTAACTTACTATATTATCGGGAGGACGGCCAACAGTCCCAAGTTGGTGTCGGATTTATCTTCCATAAGTCCATCGTCAACAACGCGATAACCATCGGAAGTGTGTCAACAAGGGTAGCATACCTGATACCCAGATTATCGAAAAGATATTCGTTGAATGTCATTCAGCTCTATGCTCCGATCTCTACACATCCAGATGACGAAGTAGAGGCTATGTATGTGGAGATCTCTAAAGCAATGCATAGCCACAAAACCCACGTGATGGGGGAATTCAGCGCTCGGTTGGGGAAGCGTTGCGGTGATGAGTTGAGAGTGGGGCAATGCGGATGTGGGCAACAGAACGTCATAGGTTGGATGTTGATTGACATCATGGAGAAGGAAAACCTCTTTATGATGAGCTCCTTCTTCAGGAAGCCCCATAATCGAAAATGGACCTGGATGAGTCCTGACGGTAAAGTAAAAAATGAGATCGATCTTATCATGGCGACGAAAAGGCACAGATTCAATGATGTCTCTGTGATCAATGCCGTCAAAACGGGAAGCAATCACCGTTTGGTAAGAGGTTGTAGACCCTATCAATCATCTAGATTGATAGGGTCGATTTATTTATTTATTTATTATTATTTATATTTAAATATACTTATATATGTAGTGTCTCCCATAAGACAAGCCTTACAGTGCTTACTTTGGGGCTAGGCTAATTGGTGTGTGTGATGGAATTATTTACTAATTATTATTTATTTATTTCTTATAATTTCTGGTATGAGGAACCTAAATATATCTATTTCACTTCATAAAATTAAAAGATGGCTGTAGTAATTTAATTTGAAAAATGTTTTTTAGTCTATACTTTTTAAACGCTAAAAACGCTGCCCACCATGATTGTGACGTCACAAAATTTGTAAACAACTAAACTACAAAAGTCATTGCCGTGTTACTGTAATTTCTTTCGTCGGAGTAAAATGTATCCAATAACTCTTATATCTTGTGGAAAAGTTTACGTTTATTGGTTTTGTTGACTAAATTAATGCTTTGTGTTAATTTGTGAAAACAGAAACAACGAAACTCTATGACTTAGTAGGTACATCCATAAACCTAAAAATTGTATTTTTGAACTTTAAATATCATTCAATGAATACTTACATCGAAGTTATCTTTGCAAAAAGAAATGACTTTTAATCGATAAAGTCACAGGATTTAGCAAGTTTAAACGCATAATTTTCAGGCTGCGTCAACAGAATTCTGACGACATACACAAGATTAGATAGTTTTAGAGTTAGTAGAAAAACACATTAAAAGTGACTTAGATGAAGTAATTGCTTGCTTATATCGAGTAATAACTTGGATTGAAAACCAAAATTAAGAAAAGTCTTTAATATAACCACAATGAAAATATCTACGGTACCCTAAACTGCGTGTGGCACGAGCACGACACGCACTGAGCCTGTTTTTTTTTGGTTAGGGTATACCTCAAAGTTGGTCCTAGATAAATTTAAAAAACACAAAATCACACCCTAAGGGTGGGGAAATAGGGGATTGTTCACTCACAGATTTTGATACCGAGTTGTATATTAAGAAAATAATAAACCTTTTTTATCTTTAGTCAAATTAATATTTGAAGTCGGTGCCATATCAACCCAAGGAGTAAATGGAAACTCAGATCTATCAGATATCCATGGCACCGATACCAAATAATAATTACACTTAAGATAAAGGTTTATTATTTTCTGCTTTTTAGTTTTTTCCGCGGTAAAATATTTATTACAAAATGTTTTTATTAGTAGATATATTTTATCACGATAGAAGTCGGTAGATTGGTAGTTGTAACAAAAGTAGATTATGCAGCTTGCTAAAGTGAGTGATACGCACGTGTGTTATGTTGGAGTTTTTCACTTTGCACTAGATGCAAAAATCTACAATTATTTAATATAGGAACACTTTCATGTATTTAGGGCAAGTGAATAACGAATTCTTAGGATAAGCTATTCTTACGGGCTTCACATAGAAATTGATTGATTGACTTATGTTTTGTTAAGTACTTTTTTTAATTTCTCCTTAGATACGCGCAGTATTCGCACTTCAAAATTTATTCAGAAGCGGAATACTACAAACTAGAAATTGATGGGTACGAAGGCAATGCCGGCGACTCTCTAAACGATCCGTGGTATGGTTCCAACAACAGCCCCTTCTCTACCTACAACCGGTAAGTTATTTTATATTAAAGATTTTATGTTTTTGTAAAATATTTGATTTGAGTGCGTTTGACTAATAATAATCGCACCTGATGTTATGTAACTATGTAGTCTAAGCTTGAGCACGAATACTTAAATATTTCCTATTTTTTTTGCCTTGAAGATCCCTGTATTACTTATATGGGGATATTTTTAAATGCACAGCAAGTAACTTATTACCCATCAAGTTATTTACAGCAATTAAATACTTTTTACATCAAAATAATTATTTTACTGCAATTGTTGAAACATTAAATTAAACATTTGTTGAACAAAACTAGTGCTGAAAATAATTCAAAAATATACATATAATCTGTAGTAACAAAAAACTTGTTTAATTATACAGAAATTTGTTTTTATATCAAATATACTGATTGCACAGCAAATATACAGATTGCATATAATTTTCCATTTGTCATTCAATGAACAGAAACAAAACTTGGAGTAAATAATCCAAGCTTATTCTTTGTTAAATAAATAGGGAGGTATGAGAGAAAAAGACCAAAAGAGACGTCATAATATTGTTTTCTTTTTCACTACAGAGATAATGATCGGTCATCACTGAACTGCGCGTCGATGCTGAAGGGTGGCTGGTGGTGGAAGTCGTGCGGGCGTGGGCTCAACGGCCTCTACCTGCACGACCCGCAAGATCTAACTGCACGGCAAGGTAACGATGCTATGTACATCAAACTTATCTCTACAGAAAAAAAACAAGTACCAGACGGTCTCGCCCACCAAGGGCTCCGGACAAAGGACATTGAGAACATTGGATGCCCAAATACACATAATGCATGCACACACACACACACACACACACACACACACACACACACACACACACACACACGCACATGCACACGCACCACAGATATACACACACACATACACACACACACACACACACACTAAAACACAAACGCACATAATTGCATGAATATAAATTACACTTTTCTTACATTAAAAAAATGGATGCGTGTAACTTATGTACGCGTGTGAGAAGTTATACTTCTTTAGCATCATTAAAATTATTTTTTAATTGCATGCAAATAATTAATAATTACAATAAAATAATAAAAGAACTGGAAAAGGATAGTTAACACAGTCAATTAAGTTCAGTTTTAATTTGAAAAATTAAATAAATATTCAAAATATTCAATTAAAATCACTACTGAATTTAAGTTATTAGTCCATATGTAATTAGCACTTGTAAGTAACTAAAACACGTTGTGTCTATATAGAAACTAGAAACATGTGGATAAATATTATAAATATGAAAACAGTGATCAGAGGCGATGAGCGTGCCAACATTGTTTTTGACAACGCGATCATCTTATGGAGCTCCGTGGATCGTTCAAAGTACCTTTCGAACAGATGTCTAATAATGGTGGATTATTAACCACTAAGTGATTAATAATCCACCATTATTAGACACTAACATTCATAACGCACCCGCGGCCAACTTCATGGGGTTACTATTTTGTTACAGTGATGCGCGCGCATCTCGAAATTTCACTCACATGATTTTTTCATAACGCGCCCGCGGCCAACTTCATGGTGTTACTTTTGGGTTACAGTGATGCGCGCGCATCTAAAAATTTCACTCTCATCATTTTTTCATAATGCGCCTAAATAAGTACCTATAACTTCAAAAAAAAAAAGGTTTTATATAATTTAAGCGCTTGTAAAAACCGTAATTTTATTTATTTATTTATTTTGTCCAGTCGCCATAATACAAGCATGTCCTAGTGTGGAAGCCGTAGATAACTCTATAATAATTTCAATGTTGTAAACTTTAAATCGTTTAATATCATTGTAAACTTTATTTTTCAATAAATTATTATTATTACTTTACTATGGAAACACAGAACCTCATCCTTTTTTGAAGTCGGTTAAAAATACCCCACAGCAGACAGAGATAAATTCTATCTTATTTAAAAGATTTAGACCTTTAGATATGTTGAATTTAAGCGCAATTTTGTGACCCACGGGATTATTGTGATATAACGAGAACAACTTACAATGAATGTATGTTGAAAACAAACCAACCACACAAACTCAAGCAAAGTCGAGTTCACGCGCGCACTGATTTTTAATTATTATTATTGTATCCCCCTAGGCAAGAGTGGGCACGTGTGAAACCCTCATGGATACCCTACAAACAGCTGAAGGGTTATGTGAGACACTTACTGACTAAAACTCACACGCCTTTTGCCCTAAGGACCTTATTACTTGCTACTTTTCGATAAGCGGTGCAAAAAGTTCCAATGTCCTTTGTAGGCACGCACCTTAAGGCGCTTTGCAGACGACGGGGCGGGGCGGGCCGGTCAATTTCGCCGCGAATAATAGTACAAAATGAATCCTATACTTCAAACGCACACAGGGCAAAAAGACCGCGCCGCAGGTGCCCGGCGGGCAGTGGCGGCGCGGCATGTCCGCGGCTGCCCGCCGTGGATCATACAAACCAGTTTATATGCAGTAACGCAGACGGCGGCGTGGGGCGGCTAGCTCAGCCCGCGCCACGCTCTTTTTAGTGATGGACTATTCACTAGAACGAACGTCCTGAACTGACTGCCTCTGCCCGTCGTGTGCTTTGAGTACGCGTCGCGGGCAGCCGCAGACATCGACGGGCAGACGCGGTCTTTATTGCTTCGCGGACAAAAAGCCCGCCCGACGACGGGGCGGTCTGCAAAGCACCTAAAGGGCCGCATGTTTTTTGGCGTTAACTTAGAAGTTAGTTTTGGGATTGTGCATATACGGTTTAAATTACAACTCGATACCTCCACGCGTTTCCAGAAGAAAGGATTGTGACAGACAGACGGAAACATAAACAACAAAAGGTTCCGTTTTTTCTTTTGAGGTACGGAACCCTAAAAACGAACCCCTATTTTTCTTAGTCACGTAAAGTTATAAATTGAGAACGTCAACTTAAATACTCATAGCATCTGTGTTTTAGACGCACATAAACGGGTTATTAGGCGTGGGTAGGTAGGTGTTTTTCTTTTTTTGGTGTTGACAAATTGATTCATGTTTGTTTTTCAACCGCATCTACGCTTTATTCCTAGGTTATTGGTAGGTCATGCATTCCATATTATATTGTAGTTTTACTTGAGTCGTAGAAGTTGTCATTTTTACCAGACCTGGTAAAAAAGTACCTACCTAATTTTTAAATGATTCTTGGTTTAGGTGTTTGTGAAATTTTGTGATAGTTATAATTTTTATTTTTTAAGCATGTAACTGCTCGATGTTAAAAGCTAATGAAAATATTACTAGAAAAAATTCCACGCGGACCAGGCAGCAGACCGGACTCGAACCGGCATCCTTAGCTATCCGGGCGAATGCACTGACCAATTAAGCTACCGCGGCTCTGACGGCCGTGTCGAATTTTTTCTGGCATCGCATTGTAGGTAACCCACAATGTCAAATTTGACAGCATTACAGATGGTATTTCTGTGTCCAGGAATCGTGTGGTTCCGCTGGAGAGGCTGGGATTACACCCTGAAGCGCGCGTCCATGATGATCAAGCCGAGGGGACTGTTGCCAAACACGTGATGAACTCCTTTTCGACCCAGCTTCAGACACCACCTACCAGCCTCTGTTCGCTCATCACTTGGATTCTATTTCAATATCTTTACACTACCTTCATTTATTTCCATCCAATGTTAAGGCTACTTTATCTCTAGAGCAACGTAAAAAGTCCACCAATATAGTCATCATCATCATCATCATCAGCCTATTAATGTCTCCACTGCTGGGGCACAGGCCTTCCCTATGGATGGGTTAGGGAGCAATCTCCCTGGTACCCAATGTGGCCCAATGGCCATGACCCACCACGCGGGCCCAGTGCGGGTTGGTGGGTACCAATATAGTATTGACGTCATTTACGCCAATTCTATATTGATGGACTTTTTTCTCGCAGGACATCGCTTAGCGTCATCATATATTTATCTCTGGTGAAAAAACAGCCCCAATATTTCATAATAACCTTAAAACTGCGTTCATTATCTTCATTCTAGAATCGAATAGCCTTAATATTTTACTCGTTCTTTGCATACCTGTTAAGCGCAGTAACGTTATAAATCCTATAAACACGATGATAATTTTATATCTAAGTACTCAAAGGGGTTACAAACTACGAATCCATGTAATGACTTCGAACATAGAAGGCAGCTCAAGATACGTAACTTATATCTGTAAATATTATACCATTCAAATCACGGGCTGTTCATATCGTTTCGACACAGGAAACACTGTCTTGTAAATAATGGTCACCTACATTTACTACGTGCCACATCACTTCCCAAATTCATTAATTTATTACTCATTTTATCTCGATACGTTTAAAAACCTTCATTAATTAGGTTTATAATTATTCTAGCAATAAGAATGTATTAAGATGTAAATAATTTGTTTCATACTGTGTAAAATAATTATGCAATTGAATTGATCCTATTTAATTTTTGTCATTTTGATTCTCGTGACTTGTGACACAAAATGATATAATAGGTAACTGTGTTACATATTTAAGCACTTTTTTTATTAAAAAAACGCTATTACATAACTACTCATTCAAATTAGATATACCTTTCCACGTTTGAGAATCCTCCAAATACATTTTTCCTATTAAATGTAATAAGTACCAGCTACATAAAATGTACCTGATAAGTACCTACTTAAACGGCAGATACCATTGTTGTGCTAAAATTATAAAGAAACTCTTGCCACAGGGAATGAGACTTCTGAAGTAGGAAACCGAACTAAGTACTTAGGTACTTGAAGTTTCTAAAAGTACCTGAGGCCGAAGGACGGATTTTGACAGCTCCGTAATCGTATCGTTATCACCAAAGTATGGAAGGAGCTAATTTGTTCTTACGTTCGGTAGGAGCGCTGCGCTTAATTTTCATAGAAATATTGACGATGCGATACAATAAGGGGGTGTTTATGAAAATATACGTCACCAGCTGGCGCTACTGTGACGTGAGGCCTTTTGTATGAAGTTTTGCCGCTAACTAATCCAACGAGCATATAAATTGATCCGTAGACTATGACGACATGAGATTTGACGGATGAGAAAACCTCTCGTCTCAGTACTGCCGCCTGGTGCCTGGTGCCCGTCATTTCCGAAAACACTCATTACGAGGCTGTCAAAATTCGTGCTGCGGCCTTTGTTGTTCCTTTCTCCCTATAAGTTTGTAATGTTTGCACCACAACTAACACTGCCAGATACTATTGTCAAATTTTGTAAGTATCTTTATATTATATTGTAAGCATGGTTCGATATTCAAAAATAATTTACTAGTAGCACAAAATTATAGTTATAGTATTAAGAAAGAAACTATTGTTTTTGAATATCGGCTCTGTAGGAACTACACCTATAATAATATTGTATTAAAATATGATTAGGAAATAAATATAGCTATTATAATGCAATCGTTTTTGTCTCCTGAGTATCCACAACACAACTTTTTTCAAAAATAAGTTTTCACTGATAGTTTTTATTATTTACCTAATCTTAGATCATTTTGAATAGTTATTTATGCAAGTCTTGTATAATGAGGGGGAGTAAATACGAATGTGGGTGTAGCACACGAGGCGAAGCCACATGAGTGTTCATATGAGTGTTTTAATCACACTAATATTATAAAGGCGAAAGTTTGTGAGTATGTGAGTGTGTATGTTTGTTACTTCTTCACGTCTAAACGGCTGGAGCGATTTTAATAAAATTTGGTATGGAGTTAGCTGACACCCTAGATTCACACATAGGCTACTTTTATTCTGAAAAATGTTAGGTTCGAGAGGGATTTTCAAGAAACTAAGTTAACGCAGACGAAGTCGCGGGCGACCTCTAGTACACTATTATAATATAACAGTTGCATACAAGACTTTCTCTACACCCATAATATGAATCCTCTATAAATGATTCTAAAACTATGGGGCGTTCTAAGAACTTCAATTTCATGAAGTTTCGACGCTGTGGCAGTGGAAAGCGCGTGAATGGCTTTTCTCTGAAAATGATCTTTTTTTTAAATTCCTATACCACGCATTGAGCTATGAAAATTACGGTGTCTGATGAGTAAGCCCTTGGCGCGGCAGGGACTTAAAAAGAGAAATAGTGAAATTTTGATATTTAATAAAATAAATATGTAACACCCACTTGGGTGTTTATCATATTCGCAGACTTCAAATACTGTATCACACTATATTACTTGTTTACCTCGAGTAAAAAGACCAGTCCCCGTATCATGCGTACCACAATTTACCTTACATCACGTTTTTAATCGCTAATCTAACTGTCAAACTCTGTAGCAATTTGACAATTGAGCGTGACAAAAACGCGTTATAGCGGTATCATATCGCGGTGCTCATGCCAGGGGGGGGCAGGATGATTAGAGTTCAGAGTAAAATATAATAATCTAAAGAAAACTTTACTAGAAAAAAATCCGCGGCCCTAGCATAATGGTCAGTGCATTCGCCCGAATAGCGAAGGGTGCGGTTCGAGTCCCGTCTGCTGCCTGGGCCGCGTAGATTTTTTTCTAGTAATCGTTTCTTTAGATTTAAACATCACACACAATATTTTTTAAATGCTTAAAAATTAAAAACATAAATATAATAATATCAATGAGGACTTTTTATTGAATTATTGACTTAAATATACACCACTGGAGATCTTGACCGAAAACACTGACATATAATGACTATTGAAAAATTGATTCATATCAACCCTAATAATAAAAGATATGAAGAACATTTACGACATCTATAATTTGGCTGCGATTAAACACTGAAGATTGAATTAATAGAGATCTTACTTTATATGATACAACTATAATAAATATACGTTACATTTAATTGTGAGAATTAGAACTTTGTGGTCGATTCCGCAGTGAAAATTGGGCCACCTCCTACTCCTATCACAATACCATCAAATTTGACATTGAAAAGATATTGACGATGTTACAACCACAATCACACTTAGAAAATTTCCTCGATATCAAATTAAATACTTATCTATATTAATTTTATTATTAGTCTATAAATAATATTATGATAAAAAATACCGAGGATGGCCTAATTAATTGTAATTGAAGTTAAAACACTTTAAAAAATGCCAAAATGAGAGGAATCGTGATACGAAAATAACTTATTAATTAGTGAGCTTATAATTCTTTATTTTTAATGAAATTGCTATTGTAAATAAATTGCTATTTCTATCAGATGCCATCACTACACATTAGCTATTCGTATTTGCTATTTGTAAACTTGACAACAGTAGAGACTGTTGTCAAGTGAGAGAAAAGGAGAGCCTTTTCGCTGCCTATAAAGTCTGATAGGGACAACCTGTTGTCAAAATGACAAACAGCAAAAACGGATAGCCATGTGAAGTGCTGTCATCAATCAGTGTAGTTTTGAGTACTACTATATATTTTTAAATTATATTCATTGGCGCCGCCACCGTTACAGGGCCAAATATCGCAAACATTATTAAAAGCAGTAAATTATGTTAACAAATGTTAATATTCGAAGCTCGACAAATATTGTATGGCACAGAATCAACCTGCTGGACTGGTAGAGAGGAAACTTTACTAGCACAGCACAGATTCTACAAGTCCATCAACCAAAATGATACTTCCGGACACTATTGTATTAAATCGTAGGAGCCCACAAGCATAACATTGACTGCACGATGAGGAATTTGTTATCAATGATGACAAAAATTACTAAAAACGCACCGTTTCACGTGTCAATCGACCGCACTGTAATTATTTTTTCATACATTTACATAGTTACTAAGATGGATATAAGTTTTGTGAAAGTTTTAGTATAGTTACTCTACTAGACCAGGGGAGTTTACCGGGTAACTACATTTATGTAAATTTAACGAGAAATTAATAATAATGAATTTGAAATGTCAAATCGTCATTAACTTCATATCGATGTAATATACATAGTTACATGGAAGTGGGGCAGGGCTAATATAGATATAAAAATATCATTCGAACTCGTCCTCTTTCATTGGGTCCTGAGAGCCGACGTCCAATATTTCATCTCTATCGAAAACATCATCTTCGAGCACCACTTCGGATGCCACAACGTCGTCCACCATGATCTCTTGCAGTTCCAGAGATTCATCCTCGATATCCTGAGGTTGAATGAGGCCACTGCTTTGTTGCATTTCGAGCATGTCTTTTTCCAAAGTTTCCTGCAGCGCAGTCAAGTCTTGCTCAAGTGAGTCCTGAGGATCTCTGTTGGGCTGGGTCACTTGTGGGTCCCTGTATATGGCGTCGAGGTCAGCTAAGGTGTAAGGCAAGTCTTCGGAGTCCTCCAGCAAGCGCGAGGGGCTTGACTGGGAGGCAGCTCGCGGGGCCGGCGCGGTCACCTCCCGCGCGCCGCCCCCGGGTTCGTGTTATACTTTCATCTTCTTCGGGCCCCTCTTCGATGCGCGCTCTTTAGCCTTCTCATACAGCGGCATCAACTTTTTTTCCTCGGCCAATATCCGCAGCAGAACCACGATGAACGGTAGATAATTATGACGCCTGCGCGCCATCTCCTGCTGATACCGAGTCATTTTCACATCCTCATACTCGATCAACATACGAAGCCGCGGTATTTCAGTTTCGAATTCGTCCGTCTCCATGCCGAGCATCTGTGACGCGTTCAAAAGCTCCTCTAATTGGCGTTCGTATATCATTTTTCTGTCAGACACTAAAGCCATTAGATTGAAATGGATTTCACCCTCGGTGTACCTTAAAACGTCATAAATATTAAAGATATTATAATATTTTTATCACAATATCTAGAGTAGTATATGCCGAAACTTATCTTTACATTAGAAAGTATTACTTACACATTGATCCTCTTCATGATTATTGGTCTGACTACATCTAGCCAGTCCTGCTCTGGAGCAATAGGTCCATGATCGATGGGACCTTCTCTAAGCCCATCTAATTCATAAAGACGACCATCAATTGGCATATAACCTACAAAGTGATATGCATCATCTTCCTGCAAGGAGCAAAATAAATAAGAGTAAGAATGGGAAGAAATTTAATGACACATATCTTGACAGAAAAATAGTATCACACCTTGGTGCCCGTTTTAGGATCAAATTCAAAAAGAGTTTGATTAGTCATTGAATTGTGAGCAGCACGAATAGTCTGCGAGTTACTAAGCGTCAAACCCCTCATCTTTGGATCAAACGACATACTAAACTCTTTGAGTTTCGTCAACTCTTGGCCAAGCTCTACATCGGGATGATTGCAATTCAGCAAAATACTGACGACAGCTTGCGTTGCGCATGCATTGTTTATAACCTGAAATTTAGGATTTGAAGAAAATAATTTATTTGATATTATTAATTTACACTCAATGAAGACAATAGTAATGACTTCAGTTAAAAAATAAAATTATGTACGAACAAATCAAAATTATAACCTGTTTAGCAAAATATATTTTGTCAAGACGATTATCAGTAACTACAGGTCCAGATGGGTCTTCGTGTTGAATGAATTTGAAGAGAAATATAAGTCCGTGAACAGGTCTGAAAGAATAGACTGAGATAAATTTATTTATGCAATTAAAATAAATGTCTATTTATTGTTACTTAAATAATGTTCATAAAATAGTACCCTTACTAGTTATATCATGATATAGGTATTCTTGATATACAGCAACATTAATAAAATTATTCATTTTCCGTCCACACATAAAAAAATTAATTATAAGAAAAGCTAGATAAAGATTATGCATTTAAAAACATCTCCAAAAAAATACTACACAAAATTAAACTCTGTCATGGCATATGTTATAGTAATGATTTGCAACAGACAACTAAAAATTCTCTTGAATTTTAATTTTCTATTCTATATTAGGACTACTGAAATAAAAATTTACAATTATTAGGTCCTTACACATGAAATTTGCGTTTTGTCGTATTGACCACTTTGATCTGAAATATCTCCTGTTTGGTTGAGAATTCCAAATTCAAATTTATAAATTCATTTAGCTGGTACATTTGTGTTTTGAAAACAGTCACTCATTAATTTTTTCTTTGGCGTCGCTTATTACCGCACAATGGAAAACATGAAATATCGGTATATTTACGAGTAGGTACGGGTTCTACCGTGGCACCAGTGTTGCAGAAACAGCTCGAAGGATTAATGATGTGTACGGCGCTGGTGTCGCAAAAGAAAGCACGGTACGCTATTGGTTACAACGTTTTCGGTCTGGAAATTTCAACCTTCAGAACCAACCCCGTGGACGGCTGGAGACTAAAGTGAAAAATGAGGAATAAAGCTGCGAAGCTATTGTGGAAGCGGATCCATCACAAAGCACTTCAGAGATTGCTGCAGGCTCAGAAGATGGGTAGGTACCTCATGAATTGAGTGAATCGAACTTGCAACAAACATGCGTCAACTGCTGTGTTACTTTGCTCAACCGATACAATAATGAAGGAATGTATAATTGAATAATTACTTGTGATGAAAAGTGTACGATAATCAGAAGCGCTTGTCGCAATGGCTGAACCCTGGAGACCCAGCCAAATCCTGCACTAAACGAAAATTTACTCAGAAAAAGTTACTTGTGAGTATTTGGTGAACTAGCGCCGGTGTCGTTCACTACAGCTTTCTAAAATCTGGCCAAACGATTACGGCAGATATCTATTGTCAGCAACAGCAACTGCAAACCATGAAGGAAGAACTAGCTGCTAAACAACCGAGATTGGCCAATCGCTCTAAGCCACTGCTGCTTTACAACAACGCAAGGCACAACAAACAGCCACTAAGTTAGATGAGCTACAATTGAAACGTATGCGACATCCACCGTACTCCCTGGACCTTACTTCAACAAATTACATTTTTTTCCGGAATTTGGACAACTTTTTAAAAGAAAACCGCCTTCAAAGAGATTGATCATTGAACTACCTATTAGATGGCAAAAGTGCATAGATAACAACGGTGCATACTTTGATTAATTAAATATATTTTACAAAAAAAATACTTTATATTCCTCCCGTACAAAACGCCAATTTCATATGTAATATTGGTAAAATACTTATTGGACGTTTCGAAATATTAATAATAAAAAATATTTTCAAGCCCATATTAGCCAAGAAACTTATGTACATATTACTTTGTACATAAATTAAACATTTATTTATGTTTAAATATATATATACTACCTTAGACTTTCAAAAATTCCATCTTCTATTGTCCACAATTCTTCAACTTGGACACCTTTGGCACCTACGAAATAACATTTTTGATATAGTTTTAATAATACTCGTATTATACATAGGAATAAAAGTTATTTAAGTGTACACAAAGTCAATTGGACTTGAGTTGTAAGGAAGTAGAATAACTATGATATAGAATGGGTTCATATTATTTTATAAAAGGAATATTTTACTATAGCTTGACCGCAGTAAACTCAACCCTCCCGATGGTCCGAGGGACGCAGGGCGGCGGGTGTGCACGGGTACACACGGCATTCGACAGAGATATTATGAGAGATATCTCAAGATTATTAAATCTTCGTATTGTTGTTTCAAATGTGTTAGTGTTTTTATTAGTATAACAAATGTATTAGTGTAGTAATTTGTTACTCTTAAATAATAATATAAATATGCTTTGACTTTGCAACATGTATTTTCATTTATTTCAATGTAATTTAAGTAAAGGTATAAAAGGAAATTGCATATTTTTCATCCAAATCCTTTTCCGATCCTGAGTTTGACAAAGATTCGGATGAGGTTTTTTATGACGAAGCTATTGGTTTTCGTATGTTAGTCGTAAAATAATCGCTGATACACGGCTGCGAACTATAACGGTGAACGTGTATCACTGTCGGCAACCGACAGGCTACTGATTGATTGGTCGAGCGTATCCCCTACCGCGTCCCGCGGCCCATGGAATGCCCGAATTAACAGCTATAAAGCCCACCATTCACTACACGCACTGCGAGCCGAACCCATTCGTGGACGAATCCGTCATTGCCCACACACTACACGAGCGTCGAGTTGCAGTCCAGTCGCTTGTGTACTTTGGTGAGCCTCGCGCGTATCGTTCTTCCCTACCCTACCATGCCAATGGTGCTTTCCAAACGCACAAAAGTCGCTTTAGTAGTCGGTGCAATACTTTTAACGGAGAATAAAAAGAAAAAAAGCGTCTGAACAAAGGAATGGCTGAAACAACGAACAAAATATACTCATTTAAAATTGCTGCAATGCATTCAGTCCTGTAAACCACCTGTTTCTCTTTAGTTTTCTCTATAAACAGCAGGATAAATTCTTGCCAAAACTCTTTATGATCGTCGAACGACGTGTTATTATACACGTTTACTCGTTCGTGATACAAACAACACAACTGCATTTCAATTATGCTCGCTAATTGTGATATTGTTTTGATGTCAATTTCACATTACGCATTATGCTCTCCGAAAAATGCGATATCAAAATGACATCAACTTTAAAATGATATCAACTTAAATGCGTATTACGTTCAACTTTTTGACATAAAACAGTATCGCATAAATGTCAAAAATGTGATACAGACTTAACAAGTTAGGAGGTGGTTTTACTGTATCAAATTCCTTTTTTTTTAATAAAAAAGAGTAAAATGGCTCGTTTCGGGTTAGTAATGGACTATTTAGAACGAGCTCATGCCGAGGACATGCGTAGAAGAGATAAACCCCTTGTAGAAGAGATACAATTAGCTCTTTATGTTCGCTAATTAATTGTGATATTGTTTTGATGTCAATTTCACATTACGTATTATGCTCTCCGAAAAATGCGATATCAAAATGACATCATGTGAAATTGACATCAAAACAATATCACAATTAGCGAGCGTAATTGGCCTGCGGGTCAATTAAGCTTTAGTGATATAATCCTAATGTGATGTCAATATGATGTTGATGCCAAGTTGACATTGTTTTTAAATGGTATTATGAAACATTCCTATGTCACATCAAGATCACATCAATATCATATCCTGTATCACATTTTTGACGTTTATGCGATACTGTTTTAAATCAAAAAGTTGAACGTAATACGCATCTAAGTTGATATCATTTTAAAGAATTGATCATAATATGCATAAGTTGATGTCATTTTGATATCGCAGTTTTCGGAGAGCATAATACGTAATATGAAATTGACATCAAAACGATATCACAATTAGCGAGCATAATTGGCTTGCTGCAGTTGTGTTGTTTGTATCATGAACGAGTAAACGAGTATAATAATATGTCGTTCGGCGATCATAAAGAGTTTTGGCAAGAATTTATCCTGCTGTTTAAAGAGAAAACTAAAGAGAAACAGGTGGTTTACAGGACTGAATGCATTGCAGCAATTTTAAATGAGTATATTTTGTTCGTTGTTTCAGCCATTCCTTTGTTCTTTTTATTCTCCGTTAAAAGTATTGCACCGACTACTAAAGCGACTTTTGTGCGTTTGGAAAGCACCGGTGGCATGGTAGGGTAGGGAAGAACGATACGCGCGAGGCTTACCAAAGTACACAAGCGACTGAACTGCAACTCGACGCTCGTGTAGTGTGTGGGCAATGACGGATTTGTCCACGGGTGGGTACGGCTCGGGGTTCGGCTCGCGGTGCGTGTAGTGAATGGTGGGCTTTAAAGGATTTAGTGCTAAGATGGAATCACCTTGACCCGTTGTTTAGAATGCATAATAAGAAAAAAAACATAATCACCGGTAATGATGATGACGATGCACACTTCATAACAAATAATATGGGTTATAACAAATATTATTTATAGTGTGAAATCATTTCAATTAAATGGCTTTCAAAGTTGAACTACGATATGATTAAATGAAAGAAAGTGTATAGAGTGGTACTATAAAAAAATCCTTTCGATGGGATTTTCAAAAAACTTAAAATAAAGTTACATCATAGTTAGAAAATAATAATACATGGAGCAGTAGAATAATGCCTTCCCCTATGTAGAGGCAATCGCGGTCAGATGTGATATGTCTGTATGACTCTGGAGCATAGGCACGGTGTTTATTACCCATGGTCCACCTAACAAGGTAACCTGGGTGGACTCCGGAAACTTGTTCTGACCCTTGGTTCACCTGGGTGGATCATGGATACTGACTCAGACTCTTTGGTACACCTGCGTGAATAACGAATTATATCTATCTACAACTTTTTAGTTATTTTCCTACTAAGCAGTTTGTTGTCGTTTATATCGATATACAACACAATTAAACATAACCAGTTATTAAACAAGACTTTTTTCCATTTTCACAACCAGAACCTCTTAGCCATGGTCCCCTGGTAGTTTTTCAGGAATTATCAACTTATAAATGTATGTATTGTCATATAAAAAAATAAAAAAGCTTATAAATGGGGCCAAATATAATTTAAAAAATATGGATAGATCAAAATAAATTTAAAATAAAGCACTCGGGCGCCAGACCTACCTCAAAAGCATCGCTGGAAGGGCTTTGGACTATTAAACGCAAGGGGTGGGAACAAAAATCCGAACTCATTTTGAGTGCACTTTTACATTATAATCTTCAAAATTGATGATCGAAAAGAGAAGATTTGTTTTAGATAAGGTGGAGAAGTAGGTAGGAAACGTACAGAATAAAGAAGCGTAAGAGTATGTAAGTCCCTGCGCCGGCGAATAGGGAGCCAGTTGAGTTTCGAGCGGAAGTTTGATATATGGTCAAAACAGAGATTATAAATCTGATAGCTATATTCTGCAAACGTTCCAACTTGCTTAGCAGTTCCTCGCAAAGAAATGAGGAGTGTGAGAGAACTTAACAGAGGCTGCCCTATCTTCTTCCTCTCACTGCAACCAAACAAAACTCATGTGACGATTTTAATATGTTACATTCTGTTTGTATTTTTTAGCAGAATTACATTTTTATTAACCAACTTCAAAAAAGGAGGAGGTTCTGTGTTCAACTGTATATATTTTTTTAATACATCAGTAATAATAGTTACATAGAAATGCGATAGTGGAGTAAAACTAAATTTTGGTGGTCAATTGAACAAGATTAGGACTATGTTCCCATCAACGGGATGTCAAATAGAACTATGGAAAAAAACAATCTGCGTCAGTATGCTACGTCTACCCAGGTAAACCAAAGCTCAGAACAATTCCCTTTAGTCCACCAGGTCAAGCCAAGGGTCATAACAAGTTTCCAAAGTCCACCCAGGTGAACTTTTTAGGTGGACCTTGGGTAATAAACGAGGCACAATCAGGATTTGCATACAGAGTACATCCCATATCTATGCATATTGCACAATTTTCAAATATTTGAGATTGTGACTGCTCCAGTGTGAATTAAGCTGACTATTATTGATCATGCAGTCATAACATGACCGTGACTGCTTCTTTATAGGGGAGCCTTAAGAAGTACTCACCAAACTTTCGGATCAGCTGTGTAAATACACCAGGATCACTCTCAATCAAACACCAATCTCCTGCAGAATCCATGATGTTGGAATAATATTCTTAAACAAAAAACTTTTTTTTTTATTATAATATTTGTAGGAAAACCCACAAGACACCCAGGCTCAGCTTTCCATTAGCTAAAGAACACTGCTGCTTCAGCAATACGGACTTCAATGGATGATTATGGTTCAAAACAATACTTTAGATACTGAGTAGGTATCAATACTTTTGTTTGCGATACTCAATACCACAACTCGACACTCCCCATAAAGTAATTATATTTTCATAACAAAAAGTCTATGTCCTACTACGAGATCCCTTTATGACTATGTCCTATCCTGTCCTAAGTACTTACTAAAAATTTATTCATTTCTTTAGGCATCAAAGCATAGATCACAACAATTATGTTGAGCTACAACATAAACTCTGATAATTGACTTTTAAATAGGTATGCGTTTGAACTACTTAGGTGTGGATGTACAAAAGCAAATTAAGGTAATTAGCATTCAGATCAATGCTAAATATTTCAAATGTTTCTGAAATTGAAAACAATCGGATACGGATTGACTACTGATTGTAGAAGTGCTATGAAAAGAAGACAAATTATTTTAGTGGATACAATCGCTTTCCTCACCTCCCGTTTTAATAACGAAACAGAATGTCACAAAATTTAAACTGAAATTCGGCAAGTCACTAACAAACAACTCATTTCAACCACATTTTTTTTAGCACAGATTGATACAAATTACTTTTTTTTGTTATCTTCTCCATTTTCAGGGAAGGCAAAAGGATCAATGCCCATACCGCCTAATTTTAAGTTAAATTATTCTGTTTTTCTTTTTACATTAGAATGTCGGTATGACGCATTCTAATGTTTCTTGAAGTGTTTGGCACAAAATATATCGAGCTGGCTTTTTCGATAAGCTTCTGTGAGGTAGTCAATACTACAATAAAATTCTCACGTCCACTTGACCGGAATAGCGTATATTTTGACAATTCTACTAATTCTTCAGTTACGCAGACAGTTGTAACACAAAATCACACTAATTTTATTTCACAATATCCACTATGATTGAATTTAATAAGACGCCAACCACACTCGACGTAATCCCGCCAAAAACTCCCTATAATTTCACAGACAGAGTACAGAATTTCACGTCAATGTAACTTTTTTGGTAATTTCGAGAAGGTACAGGATATGAGACATTACAGCCTCATCTTTTATGCCTCCTCTAAAGTTTGTCTATAAAGTCTGTTACTTGAATGAACTGCTAGTATCAAAATCATTTTGGTCCGACTGTAGAGGGTTGCTACATGCATACTAGTGGCGCCATCATTTAATGTCACGACTTTATAGACAAACTGTACACGATGGGCTAGCGATGACCAAGTGAGATGGCTACGCGATTTTTGATATGCAACTACACGATGGCGATTGAATCATTTTAATGGAAAATTTTGGTCTTGGCTTGGCGAGCTTTTGGCGGAAATTAATTTAACTTGTCGATTATCTGGATAAAGAGGGACAAAGCAACCTCAAAAATGGTATCTCATGTCATGTCAAATTGCCAAAATTACTAGGTACTGCTAAAAGTAAAAAGTCAATCGTCCACGTGCATGAGTGACTCGTTCATGTTCATGAATAAAGTATAATTGTAGTGAAATCTAGGTGTGAGCGTTCTAGAGACGAACTGGTTTCAAGGATCGTTTTGTGTTCCGCGACGATAGAATCGTTTTATGTTTCGGATCAAAACAGTCTTCGTCGAACAACTAGTCCTTGGATTGTCTACACGCCAATTTATACTTAATGTTGAAGTAAATACAGTCTGTAATAGAACGCAATGATATGACACCGTTTTGTTCTTTGACAATTAAGTTTTGATTTTACAATAAGATAATCTTTATTATTGAACAGTTAAAGTCGATTATTGTATAAAACTACTTGTATTTAGATGTTTCGTAGTTTCGTTCGCAGCACGGTGGTGCCAGTGGAGGTAGCGCGACTGTGCCGTTTATGTATGACTTTATCGCCATTAAAATAGAGTGCAAGTTTGAATACATTTGTACAGTACAACTAATGGAAACAAAATAATAAAATTTATTTAGAACCACAATTTGGCATTGCAAATAAGCAATACTTTCTCTCGTCGAAACGATCGTTGACAAGATTTTGTTTAGTTTAGTTTCGTTACGTTCCATTCGTCCGACCGTCGCCTCGCGTGTCGGTTCGTTGCGTCACCCAGCCGCAACCAAAACCAGTTGCGAACGAGAACTGTTTCGAGGACTAGTTTTCGTTTAAGAGAAAACGGTTGCGTTTCATAGTCCCGTTAGATATTCAAGAATGCATAATATCTTTCAATAATGGGTCCCGACTGAAAAGTAGCTTTGTTCCTTATTAACAGAATTATAGACTACGGGACTTTTTTTTTTCTTTTCAGTTTTTATTTTCTAGTATAATTAAGCAGTCGCGTTTTTTGATTTTTTAATTTTTTTTTGAAAGATATTTTTCAATCTGGCGTTAATTAGAAAATCAAATCTGGCAACCCTGGTATGGAACGTTCCAAACCTCCGCTTCAGCACAGCGTTCCAGGCATTTTATTCTTTCTAATACTCCCGTCCACTTTTACGCATTAACATTCTATCACGTTTTTTATCGCGTCTAACTGTCAAACTCCATAGTAATTTGACAATTGAGAGTGATTAAAATGCGTTATATATCATATCGCGGTGCTCATGCTAGAGAGGCTGGTGGTATAACAAATATCAAGTGTGACCTGTGATGTAAAGTCTTTGGACCTGTGTGACATTTTCATACATATAAACATCTGTCAGGGTGAAAACCTCAGATCCTAGGTAAAACTCGAGTCGTACTGATAGCGTAGGTTTGGAACGCGGTTCTGCCTGTCTGTCATTCCCCTTTGGTATACTTACTTTACTCTTTGGTCATTCCTTTCATTTCAGTTGTATGGATTGGTTTTCTTTGGATTTGGATTTTATTCCCGTCTGGCAGGTATGTCATTGAAATTATCAGTTTAATGTTTAAAAATTTAGAATGTTTTAATTTAATTCAGTGTACCTATATTTATTATTAGTCATTAATATGTCGCCTTCGTGTTATCCTATTCATACTCTTTATTTATAATATCTCTATCGTCAGGTTAATACATCCGAAAAGCATTGTTTTATAACATACTTCAACCCTTTTGTTGTATAATCCTCAAATTCTTATTTATTCCTTCAACGCATAAACTGTACTGAATACTAGTAGAATCATTAAATTAAACCTGATGTTAAATAATGTCTTGTCACTCTGTACTTTATGCGGTGGTTGTAAATAAAATGTAATTAAACCACTAATTTCAATTGTAAAACATGCACAGCTAAAATGAGATTGAGAGAGACTAATAATGAATATGTATTTAAACAGACACTAAATTTCAATTTGAACTTTAAACCTTAACTAAATTTCAATCTAAAATTCTTTGACTTAAACTATATGAACATTGATACCTTTTTATTTTAGCCAAATTTGTCTAAATTACATTAATAAAAACTGTTTGACCTTTTATAATTGCATTAGAATCCTGACATTCTTTAAAAAAAATAATTCACAAACAACTTCCTTTGTCCTTCCTTACTTCCTTCTTTACATCCTTTACTAGAGAAACTAAGCACATTCTCTTAGCAATAGAATTTGTTATCAATTTGAAAGTTGGTAAGATTTATTAACCCATATGCCTACACCTACAAAAAGTACAAAAAATAAGAGTTTAAAAATCACTGAAATCTGAGCACATTGACTAATCACACGACACTCTAAGGGCTATGGATAACTTTCGAGTGATTGTGCTGATGGACGATTGGTGATAGTGACACACAATCACCTCCCGGGAGACACTTAAAAGGCCGAACTCCTCCGTGCTTCGAAAGGCACATTAAACTGTTGGTCCCGGCTGCATCTACAGTCGTTAGCATCCACCAATCTGCACTGGGTCGGCTTGGTGGGTCATGGCCCAATTTCCCTTTTCCATCCATAGGGAGGGCCTGTGCCCCAGCAGTAATAGTCTGATGATGATAATACATATCCGAGAAACGCTGTTTTCATTTTCAAAGCTGTAAATCTGTCGCACAACTATTCCGTGGAACGGACGGAACGGCTACTAAAGTTCATAATATCTGTAAAAATGAAAGTTGACTTAAGCAAAAAGTAAAACATAAAACTTACGTAAGTACCGACGTGAGGCCTGAGAGACCGCGTCGGAATTTCAAAGCGTAATGACTCACCAAATACATTCGCGACGACAACACTGCCTGTTCCGACGTTATCGTCGGCACTATCCTTCCAGCTCCTAAAAAGCGGGAATCGGTATTATGCAGGGAAAGGGGTAAACTAACAAGTCAAGTACCTGCCGCGGACTCTCAGACCACACGTCGGTACATAAAGGTTAAGTAATTTCAGGACGCTGAAACGCTTTTTATTAAAACAACATTCAAGACAATTATGTTATTATGTCACAAAATTAAGACTGCAAAATACCTCCTATGAAAAAAGATATGAATTTTTGAAACCTCACTGGCAAAATATAACTCGAAAACTAAGAAAAATCGCACACATCGGGTATTTTCGGATACCCCCATGTGAGAGGAATATAAAAAAAAATGTTGACGTCACTAATTGGACCACCCTGTATAGAAGCTTTGAATATTATTGGTGTCATTGGGTTCCATACTCAAACAATAGTACAAGTGTAGCAACAAAATGTTTACTGTCTTTCTGTTTATCAGAGGACTCTCTCATAAACCGTAACAAGTCCTAGTTACAGAAACTATCACAAAATATATTTTGCTTTAGCAACTAATGTTAAAATATAAATAAGAATACAAGTTTCATAGATTAAAAATGCTATTTTGCAAAAGTACTGTTTTTGCAAATCGCAATGTTATATTTCAAGTGTTTTTGAATTTGTACTATGATGTAGATATGATAATACTAACGCTACCTTGTATGCGATTCCAACTTACATGTGGCCGGATTTTTAAAAACTTTAATTATTGCTAAACCAGAAGTCCAAGCACATCGTAATCGTCAAATTTTGTAAAGAAAAAGCTAGTTTGTTCTTACATCCCATAGGGATTAGTCTGCTGCTTAGTTTTCATAGAAACTTTGAAGATGCTATATGTTACAGAGCTGTCTAAAATTCGTGTTTGGGCCTCTGAACATATTATTAATTTTAAATAGTGTTTTAATTAAATTACATAAGATAAGCATATAAATGACGTAAACTGTAATTTAAATTTTCAGACTAACATATCAGAATCAAGATGTGGGGGCTTGTGTTGTCAATTTTGGGCTATATGAATATTAGCCCGGTGCCCTACTTGGCAAGCTGCGTTGGGACTACAGAGCCAGCACTAAACCTGCTTATTTCAATATTAGCAGCTTACCCTTTGGCGATTGTGTACCACCAATACATAAATCAAAATAATAAATTGAGGAACATATATTTTGTGATAACTGGATTAGATATGGCATTTTTCAATTTTGGACTATCCATGATTCACAATCTTATACCTGCTATAGTAATATATTTCTCTACTATGGTCTTGCCCGGAAAATTCAATGTGATCCTGACATTGGTATTTAATATGGCATATTTGCTAATTGGATATGTTGTGACCGAATCGGAGGACTATGACATAACATGGACTATGCCACATTGTGTATTAACTTTGAAACTGATCGCTCTTTCGTTTGATCTTTGGGATGGAGAAAAAATGTTAAAAGGAGATGCAAGTCTTTCCGAAAACAACAAAAAAACAGCTTTAGTGAAATCTCCTTCATTTTTAGAGTTGATTGGGTTTATATATTTCCCCTCATGCTTTTTGGTTGGACCAATTTTTTCATTTCGCCGCTATTATGATTATTTAAATGACAAGTTTCCGCTTCACGAAACAGAAATATATGACAAAGTGGCAATGAAAAGATTTTTGCAGGGATTAGCTTATCTAGCGGCTTTTCAAATTGGAGGTAAAGTATTGTGAATCTTACTTATTATCCTATTTTGTCATATATGACGCAGCAAATTGCTTTATTCTGTCGTATGGAAATCGTAAGTGGAATGAGCCACCCTAACGTTGCTGAAAAGGGTGGCTATAAAGGCGACATTGCAATTACTGCAATCACCAAGCGCTAGTTTACAAATGAACTCGAATTAAGAAAGTCCGGTGCCCTACAGGTGGAAACTAACCCGGATTCCGTACTATTTTCTTTACAAAATGATTGTATTCAGATGAATAGGCTAGTTGACCCTTTTTGGAAAAAGGTTTTAAATGGTTAATAAATGTTCTATAAGAACGAAAAAAAATGTATTGTATTTTTTTGAGACCTAGAAAGCTACAAATCTTTAATTTTAAAATAAATTTTCATGGACATACAAAAACGCTGTCGGCCATTTTAGTCTATAGATTGTTTAGCTATGATGTCAACTGTAGTAAACAAAAACTCGTAAGCACGTAGAAAATAACTGAGTTTATAATAAAAAGAACATGATTTCTATTAAATACCACGAAAAATAAAGTAATTATCATTATTGTATTGTACGAGAATATAAAAACACATCCTTGAAGACGCCAGGAATGTTGTGGATTAAAGTGCCGAAAGAAATTAATCTACGCAACTTTATTACACTTATTCATATGTTGTATCAGTTTTATGTATATTACTACATTGTAATACTAAATGCACTGTACTTACATAGATGCCTTGTCGTTTCTCTGCTCCGCAGAGCAGTAATCGGGGTTTAGTGCAAAAAATTCACCAACCATCAATGCGTCAATTCTTGGCAGATTTGTGCTTTCACAAAGCCGGCATCCATAATTAGTTTTGTCAAAAAAAACAGTAAACGGAAACTTATCTAAAGTTAAAAGGGTTATAAGATAAATTTATTCAGACTAAAGAATCCACTCACAATAACACGCGAATGACATTTAGTTGTTTACTGAAAGAGACGTCAAAATCATGGCGGATGTGGCGAACAGCGTTTTTACTGTTTAAAAAATATAGACTAAAAAATTTTTTTTAAAATTAAATTTCTACAGCAATCTTCTGCTTTTATGAAGTGAAATCGATATATTTAGGTTCCTTAGACCAAATACTGTAAGAAATAAACATTTATTTAATACAATTCGACATGAGTCAACTAGCCTATTGCAATGCGTCTTTTGACTAAATAACTTTTTTCTGAAGTTTTGTGTTTCATCAGGAAGTCAGATGGTCGTCAAAGCTTCAGGGGGTATTGAAATAGGTTCCATACCTACTGCATTAGGGTACGGCCAGAGTGCACTCAGATTCAGATTCAGACTCAGAAAACAAGCGCGAGAAATAAACAATGTAGTTAAAGCAGGGTGGCCATAGTGGCAGCAGGCAACCTGCTTAAACTACACTGTATATTTCTCGCGCTTGTTTTCTGAGTCTGAATCTGAATCTGAGTGCACTCTGGCCGTACCCTATGAAACATTAACATTGGACTCTTTACACTTAATAACGAGGCCAGTCATTTGATAGCAAAGACAATATAAAGATATAGCTATATTTGCAGTGTCTAACCATTACAATGCTTTAGCTACATATACACTTAAGTTAATGATCTTTTTAAAGTGGCCCTTTTATCTTTTCAGTGTCTGTGTTTAATATGAAGTTTATGCTTTCTGAGGAGTTTCGGGAAGTTAACATATTTTACCGTCACATCTATTGCGGACTTTGGGCGCACTTTGCCTTATACAAGTATATTTCGTGCTGGTTGCTCACTGAAGGTATGTAATGTTTACTAATTATTAATACCAATAATGTTCATTTATTACTTAGAATTAGCAATTCTATGAATTTATTTGTCAAAAACAAGTTTCGGCAGCGTTTTATACAATAATAAGTTAATACAAATGTATAGACCGGTACTCAAGCCAATTACAGAAACTCACTTTTAATTCAGTAGTTTGATTCAATATAAACTGTTTTTTTTAATTGCGAGTTTAACTATGCCCGAATTGAAATACGACCATGTTCTTGTTTGTTAAATTACATAAATGAAGTCGGTCTTATTCAAATAAGTACTGAAGTACTAATGATGACCTTTGGCTTTACGTCGTCATTCTGAAGTGGGAAGATATAGTAAGAACTAACTAAGAAGTGTCGATTGAGTGGCATTAGATGCAATTGTAAAACTCCCAAGTCCCAATTAATGTTAAATGTAGGGTTGAAATTTATCTGCAATTGATAAAACACAGTAACGTAATGTTAATAACCTGTGATGCTTTGTTCTCTAATGTTTTTATCCTATATACTGTACCTATAAGTGTTATTATGAATAAAAATTAAAAAATGTTTGGTATAAAATAGTAAATAAAATAACAAGTTAATAAAAACAATCAACAGCGAACAGCGTTTATCATAATACTTTTAAAATCTTTATTTCAATATTTTACATGTCAATGCGACTTTTCTGATAAAACTTTTTGACAGGTGGTTCTTTCGCACGCGACTGTACAAAAAAGGTTTTTTTCTTTGTGTGACGTGCTAATTTCTAAAGGCGAATTTTTGATGCTGATGTGATTACGTTTATATATTTTTTTTTTCTTATCGGAAATGTCTTTTGATACCGTTATCTACACTACAATGCTTGTATTATTGGGCTTCACTTTGCCATATCGGCCGTCGCACTCGCTCGCCTTTATATTAAACGTTATCAGCACAGTCCATGAATTAATGAGTGGACAGACATAATTAATGCGTACCTTGACCAGAGTATTGTTATCGATTGGTTATTGGTTTCAACATTTCTTTGCTGGCGATGTTCTTTTAATTTCATTTCTTTTATTGTAAGGATGATGACATATATTTCTTTTAGTTGAATTATTTTCAATGTACCTAATGTAAGATTCACTTTAAACGTTTGTGGTTGCACCACGAACAAGTTATACACTAAGTGACAAATGTATTAAGACATATTTTTTAATTAATAAAAAAAAATCTTTTTTTATGTTAAAAGGGTGGCAAACAAGCGTATGGCCTGCCTGATGGTAAGCGGAAACCAAAGGCTATAGACGCTTACGATACCAAGAATATCTTCTTGTTAAACTCGTATTTGATAGAGGCCAAATAACTTTTTGTGCTAATCCTTGATAAAATAGAAATAGTATTTAAAAATTGAGATAAATTAAAGGTTTCAAATTGTGGATATAATTTCTAGTTTTAGTAATTCTTAAGATCACTATAGAGAAAGCAGAGTCGAGTTTTTCTGCCCATCGTCGACATATCTCGCACCTTCGATGGTGTTTACTATCTCTTGTGTGGAAATGAAAGCATTGAGGGATATTACCCTATATTAGTATGTTAAGTCTTTTTTTTATAGCTAGGTAGGTAAATGACTCTTCTCCGCCTGATTGTGGAAGTGGTGGTAAAGTCCAGACCCAAGAACAGCTAGTGCAGTAGTTATAAACTGACACACCATATCATAACCAATCATTAAGTTAGACTATTTTAAATTCAAATGTAGATAATTTTGTCTATTGGTTATGACTGATTACCGAGAGTCGTGCTCTTGAGACTCCAATGAAATGTATATGTCACCGCCAATCTGAATACTTTGGCATTCTAAACAATACCAAAAACGAATATATGCCAATAACATAAATGCAATGTATGAAATATTATTTATTTTATACTTTGTCTAGGTAATGTATACAATTCCTGGGGATTGTATAGAGTAACTGCTGGTCCACCGGCAATGTGTAAAATAGACAGATTAAGCCTGTATTTATCGGAACCAAACCTAGCCTAGCATACCCAGTTACATATAAAAACGACGGACGGATTTTATAATTGTCACCGAATGAATTACAGACCAGTGAAAGTTTGACCAACTCACAGTGGGTTAGGTTAAGTTAGTGTTGTGACCTAAACTTAGCGCGAACCGACCGAGCAAAGCGAGCGTGTCGCGGCAGCGGTTGGCACCTGATAGATAAATAGTTATTATATAATAGATAAATATAACATTAACAACGAAAATTTGACGCGATATCTTCTTTGCATTCATTGCTGACCGCGCATTCGGAATTGTACAGAATACCTAGACAAAGTATAAAATAAATAATATTTCATACATTGCTTTTATGTTTTTGGCATATATTCGTTTTTGGTATTGTTTAGTATGCCAAAGTATTCAGATTGCCGGTAACATGTATAATTTCTCGAAATAGTCAATGTGAAAGTACCTAATTTTATTTTCCCCAATGATTGCATCATGATCCTAGGATTTCGCTAATGCACTCTGTGATATTTATAGGTTTAATTAAACTTTAAGGTGAAACTTATTTTGAACTAAATAGCAAACGTTTCTTTGAAAAGCTTTAAATTATATGAGTGGATGGTTCGAAATGCATGTTAAGCCGAGGCCGAGCCGGTAGCCGTCTGTAAAAGGGTTCGATAGAATTAATAACTAAAATAAGCACACTATTCTATCCATAGAGATGACCTGTCCTGTGCCTGAGCAGTGGTCATTAAAATCTGATGATGATAAGATGTGCTGATTCTTATATTTATTAATAGATTACATTCATTTTGTTTGAATGTGACTTTAAATAAGTATTGTTGATTATTTACGTACTAACTTTGGCGCTAATATAATGTGTATATGAAAAAGGATCATTGAATTTATTCTATGCTCAGCGAATTACATAATATACATATGTGATTATTTATAAGGAAACAGCATCCTTTAGATTTTATTGTTCTTAACAAATTATCATAATTTGAGTACCTACCTACTTTTCCATTTATTTTAATATTTCTCAGAAAAATCTTTTCTGAAAATATATTTTTTATGAAACTGGACTGCCTTAGGGTAGACTGGGTGCATATATAACTTTATCTGCACCTTACAGTTAATCCTTTGTTATTGTATTATAGAATAATTGATTTTGCTTAATCGCCAGGTCATTCACAGGTATGCTAGTGTCACTGATCTCTTATATCGCACTTGCTCCTGAAGCCGTGTTATGGCTTTTATGATTTAAATTTTTAGTTATTGATCAGGCCCAGGTGCTTTCCTGTCTTTAAGCCCAGCAATAGCAGCTTCGACTTCAGATAATAATATGGGAGGTTCTAAATTTACGTTGTCGCGTGAAATTAATCTCCACATTGTGCGATGGAGTATGATAATGGTGGTTTTTGCATAATTCCTCACAATATTTGCGCCATATTTTAATTTTGACATTGCGTTCAAAACATGAAGTATGGTCCCAAACTCATATTTCATTTCCCAGGTTTAAGGTGTACTTTGGCACTGCCGAGCCTAGCCCAGGTTCACTAACTGTCAACAGCCCAGGCGCAAGTATATATTTTCAGAAAGTATTCGATCTGCCGTTCTAACACTTCGTGTTTGTCAGCAACTTCGATTTGTTTTGACAGGAGCTTGACTTACTTAGAGTTCCTAGATTTGCGTTTTCAATTCGTGGTCTTCGATTTTCCTATACGATGACATGAAAGCTGTACTGTACTGCGTAGCTCTGAGTATTTATCACAATCTTGTTAGTCAGTCTTGTAATTTGTGCCATACTTTACGATTTTTTTTGGTTGATGGCCTAGCCCCCATCCGCCAAATCCGTGACGTATGAAAAGAAACTCGTTTCAAAAAATTACAATACTATATAATAAATAAATCCACTAATTAATGTGTTTTTTTCGGTGTCACACTTTTTTTGCGCTGTCTTTACTTGTTTAAGTCTACGTAGAGATTTTTTCGAGAGAAGGAGAAAAAGTATTACTCCACGAAGCACCACCTGAACAGAGCAGGCCATGCCCATCACAGAATTTTTGTAGTCCCTAAATGAATGGCAGAAACTGTTTAAAATGATTATTTTACTTAGTACTTTAATATTATCAACGTCTGTCAGACGATGACATCATATAAAACAATACTGCCACCAGCTCCCCAGCTATTAGAACGACCCATGGTTTCAGAATATTTTTTCATATCATGGGTGTAGATAAAGTCTAGTATGCCACTGTTCATAATTAGGTATTAAAAGACTCAAGTGATGTGTAGTATTATTACACTCGTCATCAGCCAGAATAGGGAGATCGGGCCATGACCCAACACGCGGGCCCAGTGCGGATTGGCGGGTGCTAACGACTGCAGATGCAGCCGGGACCAACGGCTTAACGTGCCTTCCGAAGCACGGAGGAACTCGAGATAAAAGATTTTTGGTCACTCATCCAATGACCGAACACTGCGAAAGTTGCTTTACTTCAATGATCGCAGCTGAATGCGTTAATCACCTGCATCATCGAGCTCCTCAATCTGGCGCTCTCGCTGTGTGTTTTAATACCCCTTATTATACAACTGTTGCATAAATAACGATTGCACAATATTTTTGTACCTCAGTTAGGTCAAACGGCGTCTTTTGAGTCTCGATGTTGGCTTACGGGCCTACGCAGTGTTAAGTGCTTAACGCAGCGCATGCCCTAAAGCAAAACCAGTGACCTTTGCTCGCTGTTCATCGTCTTACGAAATGGACTGATCAACTTAATTTATATATATTAAGAAAGTGTTTTACTTAAAAACCTGCTTATCAGCAATTGAAATACAATTCATTCAAATCAAATAACAATAGTGAATGATTAAAAGTAGTTCAAGCCTGGATCTGAACCAATGCTTTTCTTCGGCCACCTTTTTACCAATTTGTAAAATATAAATGTGACATGTCGCATATCTTTTCAGCGTCCTGTATCCGATTCGGCTTATCTTTCAATGGATTCGAGAAAAACAAAGACGACGGCAAGTTGGAATCCCGGTGGGACGGATGCAGCAACATCAAGCTGATGCGATTCGAGTTCGCCACCAAGTTCCAACACTATATCGACAGTTTCAACTGCAACACCAACCACTTCGCCGCCGAATACATTTACAAACGTCTTAAATTCCTCGGCAACCGGAATCTAAGTCAGTTTTTTACCCTACTGTTCCTAGCTCTATGGCACGGCATCCGCTCCGGTTACTATATGACATTCTTCAACGAATTCATTATAATATTCATGGAGAAAGAGTTCGAATCCATCGTCAGCAAGACGTCGACATATCAACGGCTATGGGCCTCGTACTTTAAGTATCCGTTGTACTTTTTGCTAAAAATGTATACGATAGTTTTTATGGGATGGAGTTTGGTGCCATTCGACGTGAAGGTGTTCTCCAAATGGTGGACAGTGTACTCCGCTTTATACTTTTCCGGGTACATCTTCTTCTTGCCGTGGGCTTTCGTTTATAAACCTATACTTGTATACTTTATTCGTAAGCCAAAGTCCGCATAATATAAAAAAGTATGTGAAGTATATCCAAAGGTTAACAGTGATAGATTTAATTAGGTACTTTAAATGATTACTTAATTCGACGTACTTGTGGTGACATGGCAATGTATATTTTCTGCGTGAATCGAGAAAAGGGTACACAATAATTTTTATGATAATACTCTAAATAAAAAAGTAAGATGTAGACTTGTAATTAAACTTGAGCCAACAGGATATAATTTCGGGATAAATACTTTTTAAGAGCGTTTCACTGAGGAGGAGTAATTATTTATTGTAATTATATATGTAGATATTAGCATACAAAATTTTATTGCGAATGCAAAATAACATCATTCCCATTTAATTGTTGAAATTATAAATATAACACTAAATGGAGTTAACATCTTAATATAGATATTATCTGATGCTCTGATACTATGTAATAGATATCATTATAAACACATTCAAGTCAGGAGCTCTACTCTCTTTCTCCGAAATATATTTGACTATATAAGAGTCAATATTGAATTTTTTATGCAGGTATAAATTGATAGCGATTCGATAGTAGAAGTTAAGCGACTTTGTCAATGGCCGGTCATTGGATGGGTGACCAAAAACTTATTATCTTGAGCTCCTCCGTGCTCCGTTAATCTGTTGGTCTCGGCTGCATCTGCAGCCGTTAACATCCACCAATAAGCACTGGGTCAGCATGGTGTGTCACGGCCTAGTCTCTCCATCCCATTCATAGGGAAAGCCTGTGGGGTCATTAATAGCATATTTTTCATATCTATCTTGTTTGTTCCACATGTTTGTGAACTCGCTCACTTCTTATCTAAGAAACACTCTTGGACGTGTATTTTCTAAAGCACGTAGACATTTCTTAACTTGACTTGTAAACTTAATATTTATATAGTCGATTTTTAATAAATAATTTCTCATTCAAGTATTACTCAGCCAGGAACTGTTTTTCATTATAAAGTGTGTTTTTACGTACCCGCCCATTGACAAAAGACTTTTGGATATTCACTAGTCAAAATCTTTAGTACTTCATCGTAAATATTTGAGTGCATTTCATTCATGTAACAAAATTCATTTATGTCACGTAATGTTTAATGATTAAAGTTGAATGATATGCTTAAATGATTTCTTTGTTTTTAAAATAATATATGAACCATAATTCTGTGTCTGGTTAAGTTAGAATTTTACTTTTAAAAATTACAAGCTTTGACTCAGTGAAATAACGCTCACTAAATGATCTTTTTTCACAATATATGTCCTCCAAATTCTAAATTTTCATGTGGTATAATATAATATTCCGAGTGATAAATGTCATGTTACCGCTTGATAGAAACTATAATGCAGCTTACATACACTCATATTCACAGACCTAGATTTAAGTAGATGACGTATGAAACAAATTCAACCCTTATGAAAACCGAGTGTGTCAAATTTTGAGACACATTTGAGGCGGAAAAGTGAGGACCCCCGCCACCTTTTCCAAATCTATCGTTTTAACAGCTTAATATGGCACAATTAAAAAAAACAAAGCGTTTGCTATCCAGTGCCGAGAACGGATGGCAATCGGTTTGTTTTTACGAAACGAAAAAAATAAAATAGTTTAATTAAAGAAGGACTCCCTTGATTGGTCACCTTTTTGACGTTTTTTTGGCACGCGAAGTATGTACACTTGCGGTGTCTATTTCGATCTATGTCTGTGCTCATATTATTAATATGTACTTGAAAAGTTACACTGTCTCAGGTAACCAGAACGGGGAAAATGGATAATGTATCAAAGTAAATATATGAAAAAAAAAAACACATTAATTGAAAGACGATTTAATTGTTAAACCTTTTTTTCCCAGTGCTAGTTAACGTAAACAATTGAAGCAGATATGCTGATTTAAGTGATATTGGAAACAAAGATAAAAAAGTTCAAATGTTTATAATTATTTAAATTGTGTAAATATATTTGTTATATGTTATTATTATAACCATCAATTTTATTTTATTTTCTATTTACATTATTTAATGTAAAAATATTATTTCGGTAAGATATGGACCGTATTTTTGAACGATCTTAGTCATTCATATCGGTATAAAGTTCCTTGCAGTTGCAGTTCAGGAAGTTTTGTTCTGTAAAATTTAATCATAAATAGACCGACTGGACCTGAAAATGGCAATGTTACTTTAACCTCGAGTCCGACAATATAACAATTATTGCCTTAACTGAGAAACAGTTTATAAGATTAATAAATAATATTGTAGGGGAGGCGGCGCATAATTTGATTTTTGAGTCTTTCTTGTCATACATTAATATTAAGATAACAAAATAGGCGTGATAGTTCTAAATAGGTTATGTAAATATTAGCGAGTTCTAAATCTGTGAATGCGCACATACAATATTAAAAAAATCATTAAATCGCAACAACAAACGATTTGATGTGTGCGGCGAATATGCGTTGCATCAACCGTTATGGTGCTATTGATATGATGATAATAATTGTGTGTATTGTAAAATATCTAATATTTAACTTCGATTAAATACTCGATACACAAGTAGATAAAATAACGCCTGCGACCTCATAGCGTGTAACTCTTTGGGCATGCCTAGGTACAAATCTGAGCTACAGAAAGCTGTACATTTCAATTTAAGTCCTAACTTTTGGGACAAGAGCGCATGCCGGCGAATAACTTCGGGTAACCTACTTTATCTTTTATAAAAAAAAATGTTTGTTTATAAAGACGCTTTACGGACGATAATTTTACGTGATAACGAGTCCTTCGCTGTTTTCATCAGGGCAGTTTTGTTTCGGTTCGTCTGAGCCGAAGCAAGCCTCTGTAGCTCTATGGGGGCTACAAAGATTTATATTATATTTATATAGGTACGTTATCACATCAAAAAATTGTGGACTTCTCCTTAAGTATTATTCTTACTTAAAAATCTAGATGAAATAAAGCTGTCCAATTCCCGTACAAACAATAACTGCGGATGGTAACCCCTTTTTGCTTTCCCTTACTTCTGCTCGCATTCGTTTCCTTTACTCCGAAAGCGAAGAATAAAATGCGCATGCCGATTGTAGAATTTTTTTTGCTGCCCTTGACGTCGGCCCTACATTAACGGTTCAGATACGATGGCAGTACTTCGCAAGGTTGCCCCCTTATGTTATTCTGCTGCGCACGAGTAAATTGGGCGATTGGGCTTCCCCACTATAAAGTAAAAACAAACAAATAAGTGTGAAAGAGACTAAGCGATCGTGCGGCCAAAAGTTCGTAATCGTATTGGCTGCACCATCGCTTCCTAGACAGCTGTCAATTTCATGCAACTGTCTCTTTAAGCGTCAGCGCACACCGAACTGCAAAATGTTGACGCATGGTCGAGCTAAGACTCAAGGTGTCCGTGATGCTAGCGTACCCACGATCAATATACGGGTTTTCGTTATGCCATTAAATAGTGCCAAATTAGTGTAAAAATAATAAAAATAGTGCCTCTTTAATTTAAGAAATAAATACCATTTTTACTGTGTACGCTACCATGACGTCAAGCTAGCGTACCCATGGCCGACCCCAAGAACGGCATATATTTAAGCAACGAAATTGACACACAAAAATAGTTCGCAAATAGTGCCCTGGCTTTACAAAATTTCATAATCAATACTCTTAAAGGACCAAAGATATTGATCTAAACATTCTTAGCTGGCGTCAACCTGGCGTACCCATAATAGTTCTCATAGAAAATGTACTTTTCTCGTTATCAATTCTATATGTATAAATAGTGTGTCAAATAGTGCCTCTAACAGTAAAAGTATTTTATGTGAATCCGCATCACAACAATACATAAAGAGGGTGTTAAATTCTAGGAACAAATGTATTGTAGTACAGTTACACACAAAATTAATTTATGCACTAAGAGATTATCTATATATGTATTTTTACTAAAATAAATAGGTACTTTTTATAAAAAGATATTATATTTCAATTCGAATTCACCAATCATAAATTCATATAAGAATTTCAACCTATCTACCTACTTACCTACTAAGTACCTTACTTACCTACTATACTACGAAAATATTATCACTTCTGTACATGACTGTACTTCATATATAAAAATAATTTATTTGCTTTTTTATATTGTTTTACTGCGAATTAACATAAAATACTTTTACTGTTAGAGGCACTATTTGACACACTTGTAACAATTTTAGTTACCACCGACTATTTCAGGGCTTACATGAGACTCGAAACTTATTTAATTTAAAATCAGGGCGCCGTGATACTGTGATTTGAGGGAGATAAATGAAAATGTCTAAAACCGCAGTGAACAAGATATTATATTGTTAAAAAGATTCAGATCTTATTTCATCATGGTTAAAACTTAATACTAGTCACATTCAAGTTAAAAATACATAGTTATATTTCTTCAAAGATTTTTCTTTTGATTTAAAGCTATTCAAACATTCAAGATCATGTGCTAATACAGTAATACTCAATTTAAGTTTCTTATATAAACAAATTATCAAACAAGTTATAAAATATTAAGTTTTGAGAATTTAACAATAAAAATTTGTTACGTTCTTCTAATGGCTTTACAGTTTACCAATTCAAATCCTTTATCACGTTAAACAGAAATTGTTCTCCGGAGTATGCACTGGTTAAATATCAAGAAGTTATAAGTTTTACTTAGCTTGGCAAGATCATGGGAGCATCAGGATGACTCAAATGTCCTCAGGGATGAAGCAGGACTTGCTGTCATCACGTGAACCCGTCACTTTTTGCTCAAGAAAGCTTCACAGGCTCATATATATATTTTTCCAAGGAGATTCCAATCAGGATCAAGTAATTGTGACTATTACTGTTATTAATTAGCCAAATTAATGGACCTAGAACCAATTACATATTTTTCTATAATTCAATAAAAAAACTAACTGGACCTACAGCCTAACGAATCAAATGTATTGAACTTACCCGTTAATCCGGGGAGAAATATTAAGTATATAATGCACTGACTACCACTGCTAGTCTTAATGCTATTTTCTAAGTATGGTCTTCAAGGTTCTATCAGCCAAAAGAGAGCGAATCTGTTTGTGCACTGCTATTTATAGGCTACTACAACACGTGACAGCGTCATTGCAAATTTCACTCATATCACCATATTTGGTATGAGGAAGCCAACGGACCGGTTTTGCTGACTCCGCCTTTCAATGTTTCCAGAACATTAATGTGACGTCACATCCATTTCCGCATCTCATTTAAAAAATTACACACTAGCTCCCTCTAACTTACATTCCAAATGCAACTACTAGGTTCACACATATATTGTACTTGACCATTGCTTTTCAAAGTGGATTTCGATATTGAATAATTTATATGCATGATGATAGATGGCGCTGAATAAATAATAATATTTCTACGACTTAATATTTAAGAATTATATTGCTAAGTTTTTAACGTTATTAAATTTAATTGCTACACAACATCCCCCTTATCTCAAAAAATTTTTCCCAAAAAAAATTTTTTTTTTATTAATTAATTAACCTGCAACTGACTTACAGACAAATCAACAATACTAAGTATTAGCCAAGATAAAAAAATTTAAACTTATATACGTGAGTATCCATTTATTTACTCCACGTAATGTTCTAAACTCTAAGTCAATAGCAACAATTAAATATTTGCTGTTTAATGATTTTTCTTTTAGTTTCATGTAAATACCTTTCTTGGATCTATTATCCAGTGGTATAACATGGCCTTTTTTTTTCTTATGAACTTAAGGTAGTTAAGAAAACAACTCAAGATTAAAGAAGTTTGTATGTTTTCTAACTCAAAAGATTAAGATTATTTTCCAACAATCTTCCTATCTTTAATTATCAAGTCTAAAGTATATGTCCACTTCCTAATGCTTATGCCTTTCTTACATCAAGATCTATTTTTCTATTAAGTATTAAAATAAATTGCACGTGCTTATTTTGGAAAAAAAAACTTTTCATACATCACGCATTTCATACTACTCTCATACTCATATGCATATCAGTAAACACAACTTGACGAACATAATTTTATCAAAAAAATTTTTTTTTTTTTTTGTGTTAAAATATTAAAATTCCTCGAAATTTCATTTAAGCATTTTTTTTTTTTTTAAAAGTGACCATATAGGTTAAAAAAGGTTGTAAATAAATATTTATTTAGTTAAAAGAGAAAAACAATTTAATTTTCAGGCAGGTTTCGAACCGTAGCCCACAGATTTCCATATACACTTTTCCTATACTTCAACTCTTCTTAGCCAACCGATTAATACTGAAAGTGACCAAAATAAGCATCAAAAGGGATTCAAAGGTTTATTAATTTTTAAGTTTGTTAAAAAAATTTAAGCTATCTTTACTAAGTTAACATTACATTAAAGCAAAAACATCTACGATCAAGATTGGACAAAGTATCAACTGGTGGTGACAATTAAGTGGTTACCACACATTTAATAAATATTTATTCCTTTAGTGGGAAACAATTAAATATTTTCTCATCTTTTGGAACTAAATATTATCAAGTTAAATAATTTTCATTCCTCTGGTGAGCAGCAATCAAGTATCCGCTTACCTTTTGGAAGAAAGTATTATTAAGTGTAAACTTTTGTTCCTTGGGTGTGAAACGATTAAATATTTCCACACCTTTTGGAAAAATTGTCAAGTTTAAATCATTTAGCATTCCCTGGGTGAGTAGCAATTAAGAGTCCACTCCCCTTTTGGAAAATGCTATCAAGTTTAAATTTATTTTTATTCCTTGGGTGGGCAGCAATTAAGTGTCTGCTTACCTTGTGAAAAAAATTATTATTAAGTTTTTACTAACTACAGCTATGCCTGTTGCTGACCGTATAGGGTGCAACATAACATATTTCTGAACTTATATTTTATTACAATTAAATACGTCTTCTAATTTCAAGTGTGTGGAAAAGGTTCAAATAAATCTCAACTACTAGTAAAAAAAGTTTTAGATATGGGCTTGCCGTATTGACATGTTAATATTATTTCTTTTCTTAGAAATTACACATATTTATATACCAACCATCCCTCATTCCTTTGGTGAGAAACAATTAAATATTTCCTCACCTGGTGGAAAATACTAATAAGCTCCTGTAACTTTTTGCAAGTAAAAAAATTACAAGTACCTTACCAATATCCAGAATGCAGGTAGATAAATATATCGTAATTAGGGAAAGTAATTGGAGGTATCAAAAATGTTAAGGTTAGGTTCAATATTAAAAAGTTCCATTGGAAATTAAAGTTATGAATTAAGATTATTTTTAAGTATTTATCAAAATAATTGTTAACTAACGACATTCTTAATAGTGTCTCAATCTATATATTTTTAAATAAAAGTCAAGGTACTTGGTGAACACTAAACTAAACAGAGATAATTAAATAATCAATCGTAATTAATTTATGAATTGCATATATATTAAAGATTTAAGATTTATTAAATTTACTTTAATAGAGAACTAATCGTCATAAGTTGGTTTTTAAATCTATTTCTAAATCAGGAATATCAAAATCTTCTCTCAAGTTAATTAATAGGTCAGAATATGAGTTAAAATTATCTTTATTACTTCTGTACCAAATTAAAGCAGAGTCCTCTAACAGATCGGAAAATGCCGTTAGCATACGAGATTGCGGAATCTCGCGGGCGTGTCTAATTTCTTCCAATCTTTCTATAAAATTTCTAACGCAAGTAGAACCATCATATTTTAAGTTAATTGAGTTTAAATTAATGCGTCTATCTTTAATTAAGTACACCTTCCTCCTTTCGTTCATCTCGCTCGTTATCTCACACTCGGGAGTTGCCTCTTTACTACTTAATTCGTCTGAACTACTTTCATCTTCCTGTTCTACTTGAGCTAAGATACGTATGAGCCTGTGGCGCAAATCCACAAGAGAAGCTTTGTCAACCTCCAATCGAGCAAGTCTATCGATTAGATAATTAGCCCTAACTGACACACGTAAGTGAAGATTACTGTCCTTTCCTAGGTCACCTGATGACAGCAGATCCTCGAGCTCAGCAATTTTCGGCGTACATGCCTTGAGCTCGCTTGCCGGGAGTGGTGTGATCACTGGAGCACACTTGATGCTGCCACGTCTCTTCAGCTTAAAAATTTGGCGAAGCTGCTTTCTCAGTGCATCCACCGATGTGTCAGGAGCTGTGGAAATGCCAAGAATATCCAATTCATATATGATTTCATCCTTTCTTAAGTAGTTTACATATTTTTGTATAGAGAGCATTTTCTCAGATTTTTTTTTTTTAAGTTAAAGTCAGTTATTTCTGTTACTAAGTTAATTATTAAGTTAATTATTAAATTACGTTTAATCAAGTTTTTAAATCAAGCTACTTATTCAAGTTATTTAATCTAAGGAAGTTAAATACAAAGGAATTTAAAAAATTTTTTTTTTTTTGAAGGAGGGTACTTTTATTATTACAAGTTTCAATTCTTAAAGACTATCTTGTTCACTGTTCAAGGTCAATTTTTTACGCATCCAATCAATACGAAAGTGTTATTGTAGTATAAGTTGATTAATTCTAATGTGCTAAGTTAATTAATGCTAGTGTGTTTATTAAAGTTTTCTAAGTTATTAAGTAATTTACTTCTAATGTGCTAAATTAATTAATGCTAGTGTGTTTTTCAGACTGGTTGGGGATTTAAGCATCTATGTTTCCACCTACCTTTTTTATCATCTTATTAACACATTAGTACAAATTCTGAATATTAAAGATTTTTAAGTTAATTATTTTTTTTTTTGATTAGATGTTAAATTCTAGTGTGCCGTTCAGACTGATTGGGGATTTAAGCATTTATTTTTCCGCCAACCTTTTTATCATCATATCAGCACACCAGTATTTCCCTCAAATACAGTATTTTATTGCTCGGCCCTAAAGTTGGTCGCCATTTTGTAACAATTTTAGTTACCACCGACTATTTCAGGGCTTACATGAGACTCGAAACTTATTTAATTTAAAATCAGGGCGCCGTGATACTGTGATTTGAGGGAGATAAATGAAAATGTCTAAAACCGCAGTGAACAAGATATTATATTGTTAAAAAGATTCAGATCTTATTTCATCATGGTTAAAACTTAATACTAGTCACATTCAAGTTAAAAATACATAGTTATATTTCTTCAAAGATTTTTCTTTTGATTTAAAGCTATTCAAACATTCAAGATCATGTGCTAATACAGTAATACTCAATTTAAGTTTCTTATATAAACAAATTATCAAACAAGTTATAAAATATTAAGTTTTGAGAATTTAACAATAAAAATTTGTTACGTTCTTCTAATGGCTTTACAGTTTACCAATTCAAATCCTTTATCACGTTAAACAGAAATTGTTCTCCGGAGTATGCACTGGTTAAATATCAAGAAGTTATAAGTTTTACTTAGCTTGGCAAGATCATGGGAGCATCAGGATGACTCAAATGTCCTCAGGGATGAAGCAGGACTTGCTGTCATCACGTGAACCCGTCACTTTTTGCTCAAGAAAGCTTCACAGGCTCATATATATATTTTTCCAAGGAGATTCCAATCAGGATCAAGTAATTGTGACTATTACTGTTATTAATTAGCCAAATTAATGGACCTAGAACCAATTACATATTTTTCTATAATTCAATAAAAAAACTAACTGGACCTACAGCCTAACGAATCAAATGTATTGAACTTACCCGTTAATCCGGGGAGAAATATTAAGTATATAATGCACTGACTACCACTGCTAGTCTTAATGCTATTTTCTAAGTATGGTCTTCAAGGTTCTATCAGCCAAAAGAGAGCGAATCTGTTTGTGCACTGCTATTTATAGGCTACTACAACACGTGACAGCGTCATTGCAAATTTCACTCATATCACCATATTTGGTATGAGGAAGCCAACGGACCGGTTTTGCTGACTCCGCCTTTCAATGTTTCCAGAACATTAATGTGACGTCACATCCATTTCCGCATCTCATTTAAAAAATTACACACTAGCTCCCTCTAACTTACATTCCAAATGCAACTACTAGGTTCACACATATATTGTACTTGACCATTGCTTTTCAAAGTGGATTTCGATATTGAATAATTTATATGCATGATGATAGATGGCGCTGAATAAATAATAATATTTCTACGACTTAATATTTAAGAATTATATTGCTAAGTTTTTAACGTTATTAAATTTAATTGCTACACACTATTTATACATATAGAATTGATAACAAGAAAAGTTAATTTTCTATGAGAACTATTATGGGTACGCCCCAGGTTGACGCCAGCTAAGAATGTTTAGTTCAATATCTTTGGTCCTTTAAGAGTATTGATTATGAAATTTTGTAAAGCCAGGGCACTATTTGCGAACTGTTTTTGTGTGTCAATTTTGTTGCTTAAATATATGCCGTTCTTGGGGTCGTCCATGGGTACGCTAGCTTGACGTCATGGTAGCGTACACAGTAAAAATGGTCTTTATTTCTTAAATTAAAGAGGCGCTATTTTTTTTATTTTTACACTAATTTGGCACTATTTACGCAGTATTTAATGGCATAACGAAAAACCGTATATTGATCATGGGTACGCTAGCATCACGGACACGACTCAAGCACGCATCTTGCAAGCTCGAGCATGGTCGAGCATCAAGTTTGACGTGTATTGAATTTTGCAATGTATGGAATTGTCATAAGATTAATTTTCAGCAGTCTCAGAAAATGCTCTGCTCTGCTCTTAGTGTGCGCTGACGGCTTTGTTGACTTTCGATATATCGCTATCGTCGTCGTGGTTCATCGGGCGCTTACTTAATTATTTTTTATGCCGTAGTAGAATAACACGGCGCTAGTACAAGGCTATAGTGCGTCCAACGAGTCACACGTGTATGTTCATAGATAAGTACTCGTAATTAATTCAACAATTATCTTAAAATAAGTCATTCTTAAGAAAGTGGCGGCATAGGTGTGTGAAATAATAACTGTATTTATTTTTCACGAAGTGAGTTCTTATAAAATAATGAAAAGCTGTTTCTTTTTGCTACCAAATATTGTACAAAAAAGTTTGCTTTTAAAACTTTTTTCATATTATATCGACTTTTTTTTTAAGTAATTAAATGCTTATATTAAACGGGGTGACAGGAACTCTCGACCTTTTTCCTTGAAAGGAGTTATATTAGAGTTCATTAGCAACAAATTAAGTGCAATTAACTAGGGGTCAAAACTGGATAATTGTCGAGTTGTGACGGTTCTTCGATTTTTTGGTTTTTTCTAACTTGCTGCCAAAAACCATTAACTGTGAATACACATCTCCACTTTAAATAAATAAATCTCGGAAATAAAGGACCTTAAAAAAACATAATTGATGATTTTTTGTATTTTTCCCGAACTTCGTCGTAAATTATTGGAAAATAATTGTATGGAATTTGGCGTACAAATTAGTAAAATGACAAACTAGTTTCACAAGCTTTCCAACAAGGTACAAAAGTTATTAACTATGTTAGCTGTTTTTATTATAATCAGCAAAAGGGCTATGTAGGGCAGACTTTTCATTTTGATTTGTAAATTGAATTCAGATCAAAAGTCAATCAATAGTCAAGTGAATAAAATCTTGTTCAAACTGCCTACCCATTATTTCGTGTGTAAACACGGAGCCTACGACGTACTTCACTCATTGTCACTCGCCTTGAAAGTGAGGTTTTTATTTGTTCGGCATCTACCAATATCCTCTCCCTCAACCTTCAATGAATGTCAGTGGTGTAATATACACTAATCCTTCGTGTGAACCCAAAGATAGAAGTCGCATGGCGTCAAAGCCAGACTTCTCGCGGGCCATGGCGTCGGGCCACCTCGACCGATCCATCTGAGTGGAAAATTGTCATCCTGCCATTGTAAATAGTGGGCTGGGCGGGCCATGGCGTCGGGCCACCTCGACCGATCCATCTGAGTGGAAAATTGTCATCCAGCCATTGTAAATAGTGGGCGGGGCACCCATCGTACTGGTACACCATACCTCTTTTTTGTCGCCAGCGACACATCTATCAAAAGCGAGTCCTCTTCCTCTGGTAAGAAGTTGTCGTAGGTTACGCCATTCAAGTTTTGAGGTAAGAGGAAAGACCCTATCAAAATATCATGGACAAATCCCATCCAAACATTTAATGGGGTCTTTCTTCCTTTTTTGGGTTTTGGCCCTTAGGAGCCTAAAAGTGCAAATTATGGTAATTTATGATGCCATCACGATCAAACGTCGGCTCGTCAGTCCAAAGATCTTTTTAGATAATGTGGGTCTTCAATCTCTAAAATCTACAAAAATCAATCCTCCTCACAGGATCACCCTCTTCAATGGCTTGAACTGGTAGTGGTAGCTAGTAGTAGTAAGGATAAAGGATTGCTGTATGCGCTACATACCAGGCTCTCCATTGTGATATACCCAGTCGCCTTGCTACTTGCCTTATTATAACAGAAGGGTCTACTCGAAAGCACTGAAAAATTTCATCGTCATCATCGGCAATAACCATGGGAGGTGTGCCATCGTCGTTGTGGCGCCGTTGAACTGATCCCGTTTCTCAGATGCGCCGATTAGTAGCACCAAACACGCTCATCAGGGATACGGCGATTAGTAAAAAGCTTTTGATACTCTCTTCGTGTCTTCTCACACGAAAACAGAAAAAAGTATATTAAATGGGGGTTCCCCATACTTAGAACTGAAACTCAAAAATACGAGTGTTTTTTTTTCTAAACTGAATAGTTAGAGCGACTTGCTGCTACGGAACCCTTCATGGGCGAGTCCGACTCCCACTTGGCCGCTTTTTTTAAGTAGCGACACAGTCAATATGATAGTTTTTCAATTAACAAATAAAAATTAAAAGTTTGCCCTACAGCGCCTTTTTGCTGGTTTATGGTTTATGGTATAAAATGGTTTAAAAACAGCTATGAAAGTCCCCCCGTCCCGATGACCCCCCGTCCCGATATAGGCCCCGAAGGCCCAAACACGCACTCGCAGTAACACACAATAAAATTACACGCGACCTCGCGGCCCTTTTGGCCGCCGAGCAGACAACACGCGCTATAGAGCCCCCCCGCCCCCCCGACACTGAGAGGCCCGCTGCCGCTCAGTCCCCCTCCGTTTCGAGTGCACGTCTGAGTGCACCCGTCCATTAGCGCATTGCGCGTTATTTTAAACTATGTAATAGTTTAAACTAGCGCAGCGCTGCATTATCCCCCTCTCAGGGGATAATCGCTTCAGATGAAGCTTGTAAGGCCCTTCAGGCCATAAGCATGATCTACGGGTGTGTTTTAGTCAGTAAGAGTCTGACATAACCTTGCAGCCGGCTGTAAGGTATCCATGAGGATTTCACACCCGCTCCCCCGCCTGGGAGGAATCAAAAAAAAAAAAAGCTAAGAAAGTTAATAACTTTTGTACCTTTTTGGAAAGCATATGAAACTTGTTAGTCATTTTACTAATTTCTACGCTAAATTCGATACAGTTTTTTCCGATAATTTACGGCGAAAAACACAAAAAATAAAAATTATTCTTAGAGTCTGTGCGGAAAGAGAATGAGCGTGGCGAAAAACGGAACTAACATTAAGATTTTTATTTGGCAATCAAACACAGCAATCTGTAAAACGTCGAAGGTTTGTATTGATACGGATTTGTTTGTTGTTGTGATTTCTTGCGGTTTTTTGTATTTATTAATGTCTAAAAAAGCTAAAACCTTACAAATACGGTAGAAGAGCACTACAGCGCCCTCCAATCTAAATCCCATTCTCTTTCCGCACAGACTCTAATACACTCCTTTTATTTCTGAGATTATTTTGGCAAGCCCTTTTTTTATTTATCACTAATTTTTCAGCTTTCAGAAAAGTATCAATTCTATGTTCAGAGTGGAGTAGTTTACTCACAATTAATGGTTTTTGGTATTGGGTCAGAAAAAATCTAAAATATCGAAGAACCATCACAACTCGGTAACCATCCAGTTTTGACCCTTAGTTCACTGGGCTTAAATTGTTGATAATGACCTCTATAATAGAGGATAAATAAAAAAGGAACCCCTTTCAAGGAATAGGTCGAGTTTTCCTTCAGCCTGTATTATTTACAAGTAAATAACCACGATTGATTCAAAGAGCTATATTCAATAAAGACATTTTCAAATATTGAACAATTTGATTTCGTTATTCTATTTTTTTCCTTTTTGATTAGGTAACAAAAATATTTGCGCATAACTTTGTGGAGATTCAAGTTCGGCCGCTCGGTTTTGGTTGTATTATTGACCACTGTGAAGTTAACCCCCCACTTTTTGAATTTTATTATTATCTAGGTTGTTCTGGGTTGTTCTATGTTTGTTCTACATTGTTCCAAAGTATTATTTGAAAAAACTCAAATTTGAAGCTGCCAGACAAAAAAAAAACGTTTTTCTATGGTAGCCCCCCATGTTTGGAAATTCATTATTTTTTTAGTTGTTCCAAGTTGTTCCTAAGATTGTTCCAAAGTATTATTTGAAAAAACTCAAATTTGAAGCTGCCAGACAAAATAAACTTTTTTATGGTAGCCCCCCATGTTTGGAAATTCATTATTTTTTTAGTTGTTCCAAGTTGTTCCTAACATTGTTCCAAAGTATTATTTGAAAAAACTCAAATTTCAAGCTGCCAGACAAAAAAAAAACGTTTTTCAAATAGCCCCCCAAATGAAATCGTACTAGAGACAATAAATAAATCAACAACAATATTAAACAATGACGATTGTATCAGTACAACCGTGGGTTATGTCGTTTCAATTTCATTTAATCATTTTGAATGAAATTAATAGTTATTAAGACAAGAAAACATTACACTATAGGGTAAACTCCCTAATTATTGGCACTTTAAGAGTAGGTTCCATGTCAGTCAGACATTAAATTACCATAAAATCACATCTAAATGAGTTAGTACACAACACATGTAACAGTATCAAAGAAAATAGTTCAATCTTTGTTTTCATAATACACTTCTGGACACATCTATTGGCCCACCTTGTATTTTCAGTTTCGTTTGGTCCTAGCTAAAATTTTATATTAGGTCGAGCAAAAAGTTTTTATGCAGTTTTGAACCTGGCACATTCACAATTTCATTCAATAGTCTTTTTTTGAATTTCGAACACAGAATTTAAAGAAACAAAAGACAATTTGGAGCCTGTTTGTTGATATCAAATATTCGAATACTAAGAAAACTTGGTTTTATTGGTTTACTTGGATTTAATTCTTGAAAAAGTGATTGATATCTTTGGTTTTGCAACAAACATTACTTAATCTTAACATTAAGGTGAGGTTCTATCAATAATCTATGGATACTTCACCTGAAGTCGCCGCCCAAGCTGTGGCACTTATTCAGGCCGGACACAGCCAAAGAAACGTGAGTGCTCAACTTAATTTAAGTCGATCTGCGGTCCGAAATGTTTATCGGAGGTACCTAGAGACTGGCGGCTTTGTTCGTCGCCAAGGAAGGCCACGATCTCGAGTCACAACTGAAAGGCAGGATCGATTCATCGTGACGACCAGCTTAAGAAATCGTCACCTTACCTCCATTGAGATACAAATACAAATTCGCGACTTCCACGGAGTATCTGTGAGCGCTCGAACTGTTCGGAGAAAGTTAAAAGAACGCGATATGGTACCACACAAGCCAGCTAATGGGCCCAAACTAACGCGAGCCCACCGAACAGCGCGCCTTCATTTCGCACGCAGTCATTTAAATTGGACACAGCAAGATTGGAGCCGTGTACTCTTTTCTGATGAGTCTAAAATTGTGTTACATGGCAATGATGGAAGGAAGAAGGTCTACCGACGTAAGGGAGAGCGTTTCGCACAATGCTGCTTTGAAGAGAGGGTTGCTTATGGCGGTGGCTCATGGACTGTCTGGGGCGGTATATCCGCGAGCGACAAAACTCAACTTGAGGTTGTTACAGGACCACGGCTGCCAACATTTAATGCTGAAAGGTACATTCGTGAGTGCTTAGAACCTCACGTGATACCATACGCGGACTATGTGGGCCCAAATTTCTTTTTTATGCATGATAATGCAAGAGCCCATGCGGCCGGAATCGTCAGGGAATATCTTCGAGATGTGAACATGACAGTTATGGACTGGCCAGCCCGAAGCCCAGATATGAACCCCATTGAGCACATGTGGGACGAGCTAAAAAGACGTGTTAGGGCTCGTCAGCCAGTTGCCCAGACGATGCAGGAGTTGAAAACTGCCATAGAAGAGGAATGGGAGATGATCCCTCAAAATTTCATAGAGCGGTTGATAAACTCTATGCCTAATCGTATGAGAGCTGTGGTAGATGCCCATGGAGGCAACACGCGTTATTAAATTAAACCTTTATTTGATAAAACATATTTTTTATTCAAAAATCAATTGCCTTTAACAAGGCGCATATCCGACTTGTTAGGGGTAGCTCCATGTCGTATGGTATTCTGAATTCAAATTTAAAACAATACGATCCAAAAAGATGGTAAAATGTATCAGGTTTAAAACTGCATCAACAGTTTTTGTTCAATCTAGCAATCATATTTCGGTAGGGGCCATCGAAACCTAAACTCTAAGGTGGGCCAATAGATGTGTCCAGAAGTGTAGTACAGTCAATGAAGGCAAAAATCAGCTACAACCTCCGATTTCGTTGAACCTCCATCGATTTTCATGAAAATTGGTGATTAGGGGGGGGGATACCTTAAGAAACATAGTGCTAACTTGCGGTTTTGCCCTGGGGTTAAATACCACCCCTTCTCGGTGGTGGTAATTAAAAATTATTTTAATAAAAATAACAGAAATCGATAGAAAGACAAATTCTAGGCAAAATTTGTTATTTTAAGTTTTCGGAATAAATCAATACTTTCTGAGTTAATAATGATCAAAGATTGTGATTTTGCGTGATAAAAATACATGTTTTAAGCGGTTTTGCATAAATAACTAAAAAACTATGAGTTTAAAGAAAAATATATTATTACCAAAATTAAAGCTAATAAAAAATAATCAAACCCCTTCTTTGAAAAGCCTTCTAATTTTAATTCAAAGTGAGCTATAGGTATTTGTATGTATATTTTTTTTCGGCGAGTACTTAAATACAAACCTAAATAACAGGGACCCGGTGAATTTTATGACATTTTCTTCCAGAACACTGTTTAAAGTCCTCGGAAATACCTTTATAATGAGCACAGTAAAAGGTTAATAGCTTAAAAATTTAAAAAGTTATAATAAAAATAAGAAAACACTAAATTTTTTTGGAAAAAAACTAAAAATAAACCCTTCATCATTCATCAAAATGCATCGGTTTCCCGTTATTTATGTTTGAATACTTAGATTTACTACTTGCCGAAAAAAATATACATACAATTACCTATAGCTCACTTTAAATTAATATTAGAAGGGTTTCTTGTTAATTTCATTAAGTTGGGGGTTGTTTGTTTTTTTATTAGCTTCAATTTTGGTACTAATATATTTTTTTGTAAAACTCATAGTTTTTGAGTTATTTATGAAAAACCGCTTAGAACATGTATTTTTATCACTCAAATCACAATATTTGATCTTTCATAACTCAGAAAGTATTGATTTATTCAAAAAAGTTTATATAACACAGTTTGCTTAAAATTTGTCTCTTTATTGATTCCGGGAGTTATTTTTATTAAAATAACTTTTACCCCCGACAAGGGGTGGTATCTACCCTCAGGGCAAAAGCGCAAGTTGGCACTATGTCACTTTTGTTTCTTAAGGTATCCCCCACCTACTTACGAATTTTCATGAAAATCGATGGAGGTTCAACGAAATCTGAGGTTGTAGCTGATTTTTGCCTTCATTGACTGATTCTTTGATACTGTTACATGTGTTGTGTACTAACTCATGTTGATGTGATTTTATGGTAATTTAATGTCTGACATGCTACCTACTCTTAAAGTGCCAACAATTAGGGAGTTTACCCTATATACTAATGTTTTCTTGTCTTAACTATTAATTTTATTCAAAATGATTAAATGAAAGTGGAACGATATAGCCCACGGTTGTGCTGTTGTTGTACAATCGTCATTGTTTAAAATGGTTTTTGATTAATTTATTGTCTCTGGTACGATTTTGTTTTATAAATAAAAGTATTTTTTTCCCGACAGCTTCAAATTTGAGTTTTTTCAAATAATACTTTGGAACAATGTTAGGAACAACTTGGAACAACTAACAAAATAATGAATTTCCAAACATGGGGGGGCTACCATAAAATGGGTTTTTTTGTCTAGCAGCTTCATATTTTAGTTTTTTCAAATAATACTTTGGAACAATGTTAGGAACAACTAGAACAACTTGGAACAACTAAAAAAATAATGAATTTCCAAACATGGGGGGCTATCTCAAAAACGTTTTTTTTTTTGCCTGACGGCTTCAAATTAAAGTTTTTTCAAATAATACTTTGGAACAATGTTAGGAACAACTAGAACAACTTGGAACAACTAAAAAATAATGAATTTCCAAACATGGGAAGCTACCATAAAATATTTGTTTTTGTCTAGCAGCTTCAAATTTGAGTTTTTTCAAATAATACTTTGGAACAGTGTTAGGAACAACTAGAACAACTTGGGACAACTAAAAAAATATTGAATTTCCAAACATACTACCATAAAAAAGGTTTTTTTTTGTCTGGCAGCTTCAAATTTGAGTTTTTTCAAATAATACTTTGGAACAATGTTAGGAACAACTAGAACAACTTGGAGCAACTAAAAAAATATTGAATTTCTAAACATGGGGAGCTACCATAGAAAACCCGTTTTTCTTGTTTGGCATCCAGGGCTTGAAACCGGTTTCGAAAATACCGGTAAATAAAGGTTAATAACGGTTTTTAGTAAAGGTTTCGTTCGGAGGGCGTCCGAAATGAAAGCGGTACCTAAAACCTTAATAAACCGGTTTAATCCAGAGCGACATGTGCACGCGTCGGCATCGCTTAAAGTTTGTTTTGTTTGAACTAATCAAGTCATAACTTGTAATGCTCAGAGATTGATGCATTTATTGACACGATTGCTAGCGTCTAGTGAGTCAAGTTATTCATTTATTATCGATGCCGTCAGAAAGAGCGAAATTAAACCCTTTAAAAACCGCTAAATTGATTCAAAACCTATTTGATTTCGCTCGTTAGGGAAACCGGTTTTTCTAAGGTTAAGGTAGAGCGAAACCTAAATAAAACGCTCCTAATGTACTGACAGCTTCAAATTTTAGTTTTTTCAAATAATACTTTGGAACAATGTAGAACAACCTAGATAATAATAAAATTTAAAAAGTGGGCTAACTTCACAGAGGTGTATTATTGTCTTTGTAAATTCGGTTTTAAATAGTGTGCCACTGTATTACGACTTCACACAGAGGCGTCAATTGAATTTAATGCTTGTCACGTGTTGTCTTATTCTATTGCTGACTTTGTATCTAATTTCATACATTTAACACACTCACACATGATACATTTATACACATTCACTCAAATATTAAAATCAAAAATATGGGTCTTATAGGTGTTATGTTTATTGTAACTATATAATGTACGTTAAAAGTAAGATTATTATAATTCAACTTTGTAATAAATTGACGTTTCTTGAAGTGTGGCCGTTTAAACACAAAAGTTTTCATAATAATTTTGTCAACACATCTATTCTTAATTCTTCTTAGGTTTATATATTGATTAACTTTATATTTCTTATGCTTATGACGAATTGTGAACAAATACACACTAATAAATATAAGTGACAAAGTTTTTTTTAATTATTTGAACGCTACAAGTAATGTAGATATTTCAATAATGTTATATATCGTAAGCAAGTACCCTAATATACTCGAATATCAATAAAAACCTGAATTAAAAAAAGCCGCGCTAACTGCTCTGGACATTATGACGTCACACTACTATCAGTCACGAGACCATAAAGCAAAAAAATCATTTCTATTTAATGTTTTTTTTTGGAAAGTTATTAATTATTTGTTCTCTCAGAATAGTAAAATCGTTGCTAATATTCATATTACATACAGATGCCAACGATTGGTACTTGATTTTTCTTACTGTCAAATGTCGCAAAACGCAATCTTCACCCCTATTTCATGCCAAGAATTACTGACACTGACAAATATGTCTACTTAAAAAAATACCCTTGTTTTACAACTATTTGTCGTTGAAGTAATCATACTTCGCACAGTTGCATTCGTACGTTACGTTCCTCACCTGAAAATGTTATTTTGAAAGTTACTTATGTTAGATACCGGAAATTCTGTAATAATCTTCTAAATAATCTAAAATGGCAATATGAACGTGATGAACTTTTAAAGCCAATAAACAGTTGTGCGAAGCTATAAAAAGAATTCCGAATACGGGAAACAAAAAGGCACCAGCTCTGAAATTATTGTCGGATAGGGATAAAATTGATTTAAATATATTTATACACAATGAACTTTTTGTTTATGTGGAAAAAAATCTAGCTAAATATTTAATCTCTTCATAAATGTGAATCCCATAAACCTAATAAAAGTCCCAATTCTTTTGTTCCTATGCCATGTGATGAGGCTGAGGTCTCTACTATTATAATGAGTTTAAAAAAAAACTAGTGCTGCTGGATGTGATGGTATCCCTAATAATATAATTAAGTTATGCAAAAATTCATTGATCCCTATTTTGGTTCATATTTTTAATTGTTGTTTTGATAGTGGCATTTTTCCATCTGTGTTAAAAATCAAGAATTCAACCTGTTTACAAGGCTGGAGATAGACATCATATCAACAACTACAGGCCAATCTCCATCTTACCTGCGTGAAATATTTTGATAAACGTGACCTTATCAAGCTCACAATTTGATCTAAAAGATCGGGAAAATCTACGGATGATGCAATATTGGAAGAGACAAGTTTCATCAGTACTAATTTGGATCAGGCAATAAATGCGTGGGAATGTTTTTTGATCTGGCTAAGGCCTTCGATACCGTGTCTATACTTAGCCTTCTTTGCAAACTAGAACACATTGGAATCAGGGGTCTGCAACTTCAACTCTTTCGTGAATATTTGCCTTATAGAACTCAGTGTGTTGGTACTGGTGGGGATTTTAGTGGTTTCCTTGAAATAGAATATGGTGTTCCCCAGGGCAGTGTTCTTGGTAAATTAGATAATTTAGTAATATCAATTATCTTTCTTTCGCATTTACTTACTTCTGGTCATATCATATTTTTTTCTGTGCTTAGCCATTATTTAGCCTTCTGACAATATATGTACAGGTTCGGTAAGCTATAATTAATATAAAAATGCAATTGTAAGAACTGCACCTTGTTATTTTAACTCAAAACTAGATTCGAAACGTTGCTCTCCGTCGCGATAGCCGCTTCAGCAACTCCTGACTATATCATCAATTTTTATGTACTTAGCCATTATTAAGACTTCTGACAATTTATATACAGGTTCGATAAGCAACAAATAATAAAAAATGCATTTGTCGGTACTGCACCTTGTGGTTTAAATTTAAACAATTTCTTTACAACTATTTCGACTTCTGACAGTCTTTAAGCCCCGACCTAGACTTTTGACAATAATTTTCCTATATTCCTACATATTTGTTTCTTAGGTTTTCACGCACATCACTCATTAAATAAAACTAGTTTTAACGGGTTAATGCACGAAAACTTTATTTATTTATTGACGTTTCGCAGCCTTTTCAGGTCTGCATCGTCAGAATAATATTATATTCTGACGATATAATATATAATATTCCTACAGTTAAAAACTATAACTACCAAATTTCAGAACTGCACCTAAGCATTTTTTTGTTATTGAAAATTTACGACTTTGACCGCCTACCCACGCCTTCCGCCCCGGGAGAGAGTTCTGACGGGCCTCGCTCTGTACTTATAAGCTACCAAGGAGAGCTTATATATTTTATCATCTCCCAAAAGTGTTATGAGCGCCTTGGCTTTGACTTAAGGCATTCAAGTCCTCATCTTCCTCTTAGTGAGATAGAAGTGATAATCGTCAAGCTATTTAGTTATCCATTACTGCTTTATTATAACGCTACTATATGAACAAGAATCATTCTGAAAAGCATCGATGGATATACAATTATCTCTTTAGTTACACACTGTAAATGGCAAAGCATTTAGCATAGGTATAGCATATAGGCCTGCTGGTCGTTCCCCCAGTTGTGGACACATCCCTATTGATTGACTTGGTTCATACCACTCCTCCATTTCTTCTCGCCATGCCTCACTCTGTCTCCATCAAAGATCTAAAATTATTTTCATACAATGGAAAGTCCATGTCCCCATTCAACCTTCAAAAATTCAATTCAAATTCGTAAAATCATTCTTTGATACCACGCCTACGTAATTTTTTGTAATGACGCTTTTCACTGGTACCCTTTTTAGTAAATGTATGAGACCGATGTGTTTCTGGCGCTTCACGACGCGACACGTTAATATGTTTCTAGCTTTATGATCGACCGCGATCGCTGCTGTGTTGGTTTTCGGACATTCATCAATGGAAAGTTCGGCCATGATAATTGATTTGTTTGGATGTGGATCAATACTCAGGTAATTTACCGGCAAACTTCTTAAGCAAAATCACTGACAAATGAACTTGCGCAGTAGACGACAAGGAACCCTTATATGTCCGTCTGTCTGTCTGTCCGTCCGAGGTTTTGCTTAGAGACTGTTAGCACTAGTGAGCTGTAATTTTGTGGGAGTATGTATTACAAGCACGAAAATAAAATTTAATTTTAGAATAAAATTTAGTTTTTTTTTATGGTTGCTTGTAATGTAAAAAGTAACATGGGGATGTTTTTTTTTCATCGTCTATTCCATCGTACCTATTTTTTGATTAAGTGATCCGTTTGCGAAATATTAAAGTTTAAAGTGCCAAGAAACTTACTTAAAAAAAACGACAGGTTGCACTCCGTGAGTGCCGGCAGAAGTTAAAAGCTTGAATATTACCATTGTGTATTTTCGATATTTTGGAATGGTTAGTATATCAGTATCTCTCAGAAAAATCAACTTACATGAATCACATTTAAGCGCACCTAGCGACATCTATTGTAAAAAAATGCATTTTCTTCGCATTAAAGCTGCCACCTGGACGTCCTCGTTAGAGATTTATTATTATAATATGATAAAATAAAATATAAGTATGTTTCGTCCAATATATTAAAAGGCTACTTCTTCAATTTTATTGTTTTCGTCTTACGAATTTTCGATCAGGCCACGTGTCCTGACGCGAGTCTAACATGTTTTACCCATACAAAAAAGTGTACAACGCCGCTAAAGCAGTTTTCACTCAAAAATCCTTAGAAGGAAATATTAAAGGTGACGTAATAATTGCTTGTTTATAACGCTTAAAGAATTGCTTTGAAAAACTAAATCTAAAAAAACATTTAAATGAACCTAATAAACGACCATTGCACAAAGCTGCAGTTAGAAGGCGCTGTTGGTACACATGGCTGGCTTCTGAATCGCGCTAGTGTTACGTTTTTATAAAGAGTTTAGCAGCGCTTGAAACGGTCAAAGACTTCATTCACCCCTCAGGTTCGAGTGGTTCAGATGGAGAGGAGACTCCCCCCGCGGGGAGATGCCATCCGCCTTGAATACTTCTAGAGGCACTCGCCAACTCTCGGCTTGTCGCTGTAAAGGTCATCTGCGACCAACAGCATACACACTCAAAAAAATCAAAGACTTGATACTGAGGTAAAGATGGGCAACTCAACTACTAAAACTAAACTGCGCGTGGCACGACATGCACTTGCTCAATTTTTGTATGTAAAATTGCTACTGCACAAGCTTTCTTGTCTATGGTCGGTACTCAAATCCCGGGGTGTATACGAATAATGTGGCCAAGTTTGTACCGGGCATTACTATATTGCATATTTTTTAACACGAAAATACTTAGTTATTCTGACATAACTGTAATGGTTAGAATTATGGTAACCGCGGACTTTTTTGTAGATATTGATGTCCTCTTTAACTGTCACTTTGCTCTATTGTCAATAATTTCCGCAGCGTACACATTCTAAGTTGGTAGTTTTTTTCACAAAACATTTACAAAAATAGTCTATAGCCCATGTTCTTCAGGGAATGGACGATTTTAAAAGTGAAAGAATTTCTTAAAACGGTCCAGTAGTTTCGGAGCCCATTCAATGCAAACAAACAAACAAACAAATCTTTCCTCAGAATATTGGTTTTCAATAGTATTAGATTTTTTGAAACCAATATTTCTATCAGTAGCTTGAATCCATTTTTTTTTTGTTTTGATCCTTCGGTAATCTGTCAGCAATAAAATATGAATCGGTCCATGAGTAAATTTTCTATTAGTTTTTTCCCCTTCAAAGATTTACAAGGACCTATTTGAACTCTACAGACCATGCAGTCGAAATCCCGGTCAAGTCTATCAATATAGATAAATAGGTATAGGTCTTGCTGAAGCGAGACCAATCATTCATTTAAGTCTATCAATTAGATAATACTTCATTTACGGATCTTAGTAAAGATTTGGCATTCCTTACTTAGGTCTAAGTTATAAGGCCATATTATTTTACCTATTGCAAACAAAACTTTGTGAACAACTAAAGTACTAAGGTAAGTATTACTTATATTGGAAAAGTTCCTAGAAATGTGGATCGAGATGAGATTATGTTATTTTAAAAACCCTACTAGGTGGGTATGGGGCGTGAGAACGTCCAGCTGCAGCCAATCCCAGCTCACCTCGCATATTGATCGAGTGCCGCCCAAGCCTTCAGTAGAAAAGGCTATAATATAAGTAGTCAGCGAACCCTGATTGAATTTTTTTTTATTATATATATAACCGGGTAGGCAACTGTCTCTACTTTTTGGTTATTTTTGATTATTGATAGGCACTGGCTTCAATCTTCAACACTGTTTAGTCAGCAAGCCGATGCTTGCTTCTTGTTGTTGTTGAAAAGCCTATAATGTGGCCGTGGCACATTTGGTTCACTTGCTTAGTCCCCTAATATTGCCATAAAGTGGATCTCTATTTGTTTCATATCTTCAAGCATACCAATCCTTAATATAACATTTTTTGAACGAGTGTAAAGAGCTATTTATTTATTTTTACATTATTCTTGACGTTTCTATATCCTGTAAGGGGTTTTTGGCAATCGAATAAGGGTTCGAATTTACCATTTTATAGTGTAATCTGCTACTTATACTTACCATATAATACTTACCATAATAATGGTCTTTATGATATTGAATAATTTTGAACGTTCGTTATTGGTCCATGGTCGTACCAACTACTTAAGAAGAACAATAAAAATCTTTTAAATAATGATGATGATCGCTTTTTTAATAAATAGGGACCGACCGGTTTGGTGTGCCATTTTAATGAGGAAAAAGGGGTGTGTTTATAATTTTACTAGATAAATATTTTTTAACTTGCGTCTAGGTATTTACGAATAACAAAAAGTCTATCAAATCTGTAAAGCCGCATGTCGATACGTACATTTTTAGATCTTATTTGAGGTAAGATAAAAAAGCAGTAATAAAAACTTTATCTAATATATTATGTAGATTGCGATTATATGTACTTAGTCTAAGATAAAATATAGGTAGGTAAACCTAACGTATTACTTTATAAACATTCCACCCTTTGGGAAAAGCTGCAGCTGGACAGAAGTGCGCAGAGTGAATGCGAGTTGTCGCACAAAAACATTTTATTCCATTTTTCAGTTTTACTACCTTTATACTATGCATACCTACTTACCACCTATTTGCTCTTAGGTTTGAAATGTTTTATATAAACCTAAGTATTTAATGTTAACTTGGCAAGGTTGTTAAATTAGATTCTAGACTTATTATGTTAAAAGAGCCCGATGCTCAATTCAAAACTCAAATTCGTCAGGTATGGTGATAAGTAGGGATATGTAAATAGATTGTGGTATATTGAAGTTTGTTCAAAAGTACTTAGGTACTTCCTTATAAAACGATTGACGACGCAACATAGGTACCTGTAATTACTTATATCATACTCCTCTTCTTTCTGATAATCTGAAAAAGTGTACCTATTATCCGCATCTGCGACTAAACTTGTACCACATAAAAACAAAATATAAATTAAAACCATGTCTTATGTTCTTATAAACTTATATTGAGGTATGATACGTATTTAGGTAGGTATCTACCCCTCGCGCGTCGTTCGGCAGATTTGCTATAGGACAGAAACTTGATAAGGCAGAAGCTGGATTGGGCAGAATCGTGTTTTGGCAGAGTACAGTCAGGATGTTAATAATATTATTATGATGTAAACTCTTTGGTTTATCTTATCATTAATAATGGCCACTTATGGTTTATGGTGACATGACAAATTATATATTTTACAATGACATTGTTATAGTCAAGTCAGTATTTTTTCATTGTATTATCTGAGATATAATTGAATTTAATTTATTATGATGGATGATGCGGGCCCACGTACAGAAAGTGAAAATTTGAAAATTATTCGCAGTAAACGAGGTAAGCCAGTGCTTCTACACGACGGTTTTCGCTATAATTTCGTAATGAAAAACAAATCTGGTACAAGTAATTGGAGATGCTACAATAAAACGGAATGTAATACATCAATCACACTGGATTCAAAAGATCAAATTTTAAGAAAAGCAAATCATTCATGTGTTCCGAACAAAATAAAAAACGTAATTGATGAAATTATGGATGAATGTAAAAAGCAAGTATGTCTCAATTGGGAACCTATACCAAAAGTTTTCGAAGACTATATTAACAGCATAAAGCATGATGTTCAAAAGGAATATTTACCAAAATATGAAAGCGTGAAAGATATGCTGAGAAAGGCAAGATTAGACTACTTACATTGCAAGACTCTTACATTTAAAAGACGTGAAGATATAAGACTGCCGGACGTCCTCGTCAAGGATTTTTTTTTATATGATTGTGGAAATGAAGACAAAATTCTAATTGTCGGAACGCCGTTAGCAAAAAAATATTTTAAAAAATTCAGCAGGTTTTACGGCGATGGTACTTTTAGAGTTGTGCCCAAACTTTTTTATCAATTATATACGTTACATGTCGATTTAGCAGAAGATGATGATGTTAATTTTGTACCATTGTTGTACATATTATTACCAGACAAGAAAGAAGAAACCTATAAAAGATTATTTACAATTTTAAAGCATCAATTTTCAATTAATATTGAATATTACAAATGCGATTATGAGCTAGCCGCAATTAACGCTGTGAAATCAATATTTCCTGAAGTAAAGGTATCAGGGTGCTTTTACCATTTTTCTAATGCGGTGTGGAAAATGAGCAAGAAGCTTAACTTTGATAGCGTCAAAGTAAAAATTGACGACGAAGAAAAAAATATGACACTTTTATACATCCAGCTGGCATTACTTCCTCCTAATTTTATACCAGAAGGATATTTCGAGCTTTTTTACATGGGTCCTGAATCCGAAGAATTTAAAAAATTCAACGATTATTTCCGAAGGCAGTGGATGGAGATTATCACTTCTGATACCTTTAGTTGCTATAAAGAGGAATTTCGCACGACGAATGCGGTCGAAGGATGGCATAGACGCATCAACGCTCGCATTACAGAACGGCCATCAATTTTTCTGTTTATACAGAAAATTAAAAAGGAAGCAGCATTTCAAGACCGAAAAATTGCAAGAAAAGAAATTTATCAAAAAGAAAAGCGGCGACAAAATTCTATGGTACAAAAAAATTGTAGCATTGATAAAATTATAAACGGACTTTTAAAACAGGACTATAACATAATTGAGTGTTTAAGACGGCTATCTTGTGTTAAGTAGAATAAATAAAAGTGCTTCTAAATAACTAAGTAAGTTTTCTTTTGAGTGTGCCACAACTGCCAAAACACGATTCTGCCCAATCCAGCTTCTGCCTTATCAAGTTTCTGTCCTATAGCGAATCTGCCGAACGACGCGCGAAGGGTATTTACTCAGTATGGTAGCACCTATATAAGTAAGGTACCTTTTATTAAAAATTGAATACATTATTTCTTTGCTTTTTATGTGTATGAAGTGTTAAATATGTATCCAGATACACAATAACAATGTTTGTGTTTTTCTATTTATTAGTTAGTAGAATGAGTTGATAAATACTTACAATAAGTAGAGTTCATCATGAAATAGTACCTACTTAGATTAAATAAAAGAGAAGTAATATTTATAAATTGATCACAGTGAAATACATAGTAACAACAATGGAAATAATATTTGTAAATTGACTTTTTCCCTAATTAATACGATGGGAATCAGCTGGGTACCCACCACGTACAAACGTACATGTTATATAAAACTATGTTGTCTAATTGACTTAATATAGGCATACTGAATTATATAATTATAAATACGTGAGTAAATAAATAATAATGATCGTTATAAATGAAAACACCACGATGCCTCACCAAATAAATGATCATCAAAAAATAGTAATTGATAAAAAAATACGAATGGTAATGTAACCTAACCTTTATGTAGGTTACTAATTAGTATTTTTAGTTGTTTTTTTTTTGAGGATCATTTAAATATTTCCCATTAGTAATTACATAAGTACATACTTATGAAAAATAGTGTAGTATGAGATCAATATATTCAAATAAATTAACTATTATCAGAATTTGCGATTTTATCTTAGCTCCTCCTTCTCCATGATATTATTGGTGTTATTGAAAAGTCTCGGATCTTCGGGAACCCAGATCTTGGCGTGGAGAGTGCTGCCTGGTGGTCGCTCGCCACGTCTGGACCACGACAACGAGTGAGCTTGGAAGTTGTTTCCTGTAACAAGACACGGGTGTAAATGTGCACACACGATACTTGACTTGCATTGAAGACTGTCGGAAGCATAATTAACTAAAACCAACAATATGTCTGTAACAAATTATTTATTTATTTATTTAATGAGCGGTTTTAACACTCCCACATGATGATCTATGTCAAACGAAAATTGGGACAGTAAAAGAGAAACCCATCAATCATTGCAATTCCGGTATTTAAATAAAAACTTAGTCTTAAAGGTTTTAATCACCAAGCTTTAGATCGTACATGGACGAAAATGAATTTTATTCAGATGAAATCTTATTGTCGCCATTTTAGCCCTGCAAACATTTTTTTTTTCAACTTTATCTTTGCCTCTGGCCCATAGAATAAGCACCGCGTTAAGATATGTTAGAGCTTTTCATCAACACCTAACTGTGATACCCACTGCATAGTAATTTTACAATCAAATTCGAATCGCTTTATCATGTGTTGGTGGACATGAGAAAATTTTCAAACAAAAAGCTTCCGCTATCTATGTGATTCTATTAGAAGAATTTTTCGCTGTTACAAGAAAATAAAAAAAAATGGGTGCGTGTACTTATGTAGGCGCGTGAGAAGTTATCCTTCTTTGGCATCGTTTAAAATTAGTTTTTAATTGCATGCAAATAATTAATTACAATAAATTAATAAAAAGTCTGGAAAAGGACACAGTCAATAAAGTTCAGTTTTAATTTGAAAAAATAAATAAATACTCAAAATATTCAATTAAAATCGCTACTGAATATAATTTATTAGAACATATGTGATTTGCACTTGTATGAAACTCAAACACGTATTCCGAATATACAAACTAGAAACATGTGGATAAATATTATAAATATGAATACCTATAACTGTTACTTTCTTACAATAATAACATAAAAGTAACATTAAAAATAAAGATGTGGTTTTTGGTTCTACTACACCAATGGTCAAGAGATGGCGCTGTAGTCTCCTGAATCGCGCTTTGGTTCCGTTGTTCCAGATTAATAAATACTTTTGATAGGCCTTCACAATGCAGTCGTTAGCACCCATTAAATAGAAATTCTATTTCTGTTTTGTTGGTAGATTTTCTTAATGTGCGGTAAATACAAAAGTAACAGCATGAAGTTGGTCGCTAAAGCTGGTGTTAATTTTGTGTATTATAGTGTTGGGTAGGACACGACTTGAAAAAGAGTTTGTAAGAGTAGCCTCTTTTTTGTACTGAGCCAGTACAATGTCCCACTTCAAATGAGGTGAGGCGTACTGAAGCTCGGCAATACATTTAAAGTGACGAGTACAAATATGACATTGAGGCGTACAGAAGCTCGACATTACGTTTGTGTGTACGAGTAGCACCTCCTCTACGCACTATCAATCTTGCTGGATCCAGCATGCAGGACAGCGCTATACACGTAAAAGAGATAGAGATACAGATGGATAGTGCGTAGAGGACTTAAATGAAATGTCATGCCTCGCTCTCTCTCAGACTTACGAAGAGTGAGTGAGTAACGAGACGCGACTATCGCGACATTTAATGTGAAGTAGTACATTTTAAAATTTTGAGCCGCTCTTACATTTTGACGTCATGTCCGGGACAAATGTACCGCCTCTTGTAAGCCCTACTCAACACTAGTGTGTTACAGTGATGCGCGCGCATCTTAAAATTTCACTCTCATCATTTTTTCATAACGCGCCTAAAGAAGTATAACTTCAATAAAATTTAAAATACTGTATAAAAAACCATACAAAAACATATTAACAGATATTAATAATAAAACTGCGTAATACCTACAGAAGTGGCTAATCTCCGTCATCGGGGTTTTAGTTGCGCACAATGGCCCCCGAATCGGTTTGAACCTAAGGTTTATTTATCAGCAATTATTAGTGAGTAGCGTGCATTGTGGGCTATCAAACTAAACTATTCGCGAATGTGGTATAATGGCGGGGTGTTATTTTGGGGGTGCGCGCCCGGGGGTCGGAACACGTGCGCGCTGTTACGGTCGTCGCGACCCCTCGATGCCGTTGATAGGGTCGACCTGTGTATCTAAGTCCCTTGAAACGTTATTATTTTTAAACAATGTTCAATTATTATCTTTAGTTAAATTTCCAATTCGAAAGTGGATTAAAATTTTAAAAAGAATTACTTTGAAAAAATACATACATTTTTTTTCTACACTAATTAAGAAAAAAGCTGTTTAAGGTATTTAGACTAGGAGTTAATTTGCTTTAAAAGTGCTTATATCTGCCCTGCCTTAGTCTGTATAATTATTGGTGTAATATTTCATGTTTGTTTTGGGTATTTTTTTTGTAAGTATAGATTTATTAACCACCTTAATATTATTAAATATTCTTTTTAATGAAGTAGAACTAGTAACCGAACTATTGTTACAAGGGGATTTATTAATTTGCACAATATTTCAATAATACTTTTTACTTCATGGGAAAATGTAAATATCTTAGTATAAATAAACTTTGCTAGCGCCGCATGTTTCATCGTCGAGTGGATTAATAACAGTTTAGTGAATGTCGCAATGGACATAATGAGAACGTCCGGCCATTACTCCGTTTGTTACGGAGCGCTCGCCCTTGGCACATGAATCTTGTATTAGGTGTGTAGGGTACACTTAATAATCTATTACCGGGTTGAAAACAGTTGTGTACACCTAATATAGGTGGATTTGATTGCTAGGTATGGATTTTTTAATTACCTACTTACTATACTAATTAGAAAATAAATACATAGGTATTATTATTCCTGCTAAACCTATCTTGACGGTCTTTAGGCTAATGAAACAATAATATGTTAATAAAAATTATTTTTTGAATCAATTCCAAAGTGAATTGGTCTATTGTTGACCACGGTAGTTTTTTCCAGCATACTTTGACAAAGCTCCCAATTCCTCCTCAATGCGTAGCACCTGATTGTATTTGCCGATACGTTCGCAGCGAACTGGGGCTCCGCACTTCAACTGGCCAGCTGACAAGCCAACCACCAAGTCAGCTAAGAACAAATCCTCAGTATCACCCCAACGATCTACTACAACAATGCCGAAGCTGTTGGTTTTCATCAATTTGTAGGCCTCTATTACTTCAGTCAACGTTCCACTCTGGTTCAACCTTAGACCGAGAGTATTGCCAGCTTTCTTTTCAACTGCAAGCCCGACCCTCCTTAAATTAGTCTGCGTTAGATCATTACCGAATAATTGTCCGTTGGTACGAGCCGTCAAGTTCGACCACGCTGCCCAATCATCAAAATCAAATCCATCTTGTATAGAGCACACAGGAAATTCTTTCATATTATCAAGATACACTTCTGCCAACTTATCAGACGACATGTAATCTTGAGGATTTGAATTGGGATTTTTGAATTCTAAGTCGTAAGCGCCGTCCTTGTAAAAGTCAGTCGCAGAAGCGTTTATGGATATCTCTGCTTTGTTAGCGTACCCACACTGTTTGATAGCATCGGTAAGAAACAGCAGTGCATCTCGATGGCTTTCCAAAGGTATCGCAAAACCACCGCTATCACTAACATATGTAGTTTCGGCAGTATATTTGCTAGAGATAACGTTCTTTACGTAACCGTAAATCTCAACGCCAATTCTAAGTGCTTCCGCGAACGATGCAGCTCCGGTGGGCATAATACAATACTCCTGAAAGGGTAAACCATTCGAAGCTAAAACGCCACCAGTCAAAATTGTGAAATGAGGAACAGGTAATATGATAGTAGTGACTTCAGCCATGTCTGAAATGTGCCGGTACAGTGGCACGCCCTTCTTCGCAGCACCTGCTTTTGCAACGACAAGAGAGACGCACATTATGGCATTGGCGCCTAACCTCGACTTGTTTTCTGTTCCGTCTAATGAAATTAGGAATTGGTCGATTTCCTTTTGCATTGTGACTTCTAGATTCTGCTTAATGAGTTCTGGTGCAATAATGGTGTTGATGTTTTTGACAGCGTTTGACACACCCATCCCGTGGTACTCGGCTGGGTTATTATCACGTAGTTGCAGATCTTCGGCGATTTTCTTATTGTCGGTAGAAGGCACTCCCACTCGGAACAGTCCTAGCTCTGTGACCATATCGACCTCCACCGTTGGGACACCAGTTGCGTCGAATACTTGACGAGCGAGAAGAATTTTTATGGGCATTTTTGTAACTATACTAGATGTTTGAAGAAATACAAGTGAATTAGTAATATTTAGGTACTAGGTACAATAAAGGATACCTTAAAATCAAGCTTAATACACACTGAAATTAGAATGTCATGTAAATGAATCAAAAATGAATTTGAACGTCAATCGGTAGGTAAAAATGACAAAAATGTGTCAAATAGATGTCTAAATTCCCATTAGAAAAATAAATTTATATGAAATGGAAATACCTATATAGGTGTGATGCTAACTTCGAACAACAATTGTATAGATAACGGCTCAACGAGTAAATTCCGTCTCGGTAAATATAGCCTCATTTGAGGCTTGAGATCTTAATTTAAATTAGTTCCGTTAATACAAAACTACGTAACCCGCTGGCCAATAACTGGTAAAAATATTTTATTTTGTGGGCCATAAATGCGAAGAGATGGCGCTGCCTTGCAGCTTAAGGCTAGGAAAATTTCGACGCGGCTAATAGGGCCGTGGTAGCATAATGGTCAGTGCATTCGCCCGGATAGCGAAGGATGCGGGTTCGAGTCCCGTCCGCTGCCTGGTCCGCGTGGTTTTTTTTTCTAGTAAACTTTTCTTTAGATTTAAACATCTAGCAGTTAAATGCTTAAAAAAGAACATATTTGTCTTTGTTTTATGATTGTCAGAGTGAATGTCATACATCATTCTAGCCTAACCTTATCACTGTGGTGTAATGTTATGATGCACTATACTAAACAACATGGAAATCTCTTAGAACTACTTAGAATTTCTGTCAATTTAAACAAAGGAAATACGTATTTATGTAGGTTACTACGTCACGTCGTATTTGTGTTACGTCTTGCCGACATTGTGTTGTTTACTGCTCATAAGCGTTTGGGCACTGGTGTATTACGTATTCAAATAAAATGTGCGTATTAAAGATCACACATCCATCTGACGCCTGTATTAAGAGTCTGTGAACATTAGCACTAACTAATAGTTAAATTACGTCAGGTCACGTCGAAATATTCGAATTACGATTTTAAAGATGGTTTTATAAAGACGTATCTTATAAACGCACATACATAAAATAAAAATCATTATAGTACCGCTAGCTGTATCGTAAAGAAACCTTTCAATTATTATAGTACACTTTAATTTTTAATTTATAAAATTACTAAGTAATAGGCTTTGACATTAGGCTGAATGTAAAAAAGCGGCGCATTCAATTTGAACTTAATTCTACTCGTTTCCCATACCATTTTTTGCCGATCGTGTTTTGTTGTCGGGATTTCAGAAAAGTTTTTCAAAATACTTTAATATTACCTAGCTACTTTGTTTGATTTCGATTATTTTTATGCGTGAAGGTAGTGTTTGCAACTGCATATAATTTAGGTAATAAAACACTCGAGTTGACCTATTTATCGCCACATGCGAAGTGTTTTAATGCCCCTTCTTATATGACAGTCGTATAAACTACTATATCTGCCCAGAAGTAAAAAAATATTATCCAAGGCTTGAGAGCACGCACGTGCGCTTGATCCGTATGTAAATCCTACATTACATTTCGATAAGGTGATTTTTTATTAATTGAAAAAGAGATTAGGTGGCGCACTCGAATATTGTAGGGTTTTTTTTTATCGCCCCGCCATTGTTGTGATAATATTGTTGTTACTGCGATAGGAAAATAATTAACTCTACACGTGTTGTGTGAACATTTCTAGTTAATCAAAGGAGACGGTTCAAAGGTGGTAGTCGGTTTCCTGCAGCGACGAAACATAAGTCATTTTAAAGCTTGTTTTATGTAATAACATGAAAAGATATTTATAATTTTTTATTTAACTTTGATTAATTTTAAATCGTGTTTGAAAACTGAACAATTTCGAAAGGATGCTGTCCATTAATTAACGTCATATTTTTGCCAGTATATTAACGTTTACTGAATCACTGAAAAATGTCAATCAGTCCAGTCATGCTCGATATGCGTGAAATAGTAGCGAAATTATTTTACCAAGTTTTCTTGAAATTACACAAACTCCCTAATAAAATAATGTAATGAGGGATGAACAGAATCATTATTACTGTTATGGTTACCAACCTATTGAATAGAATATATTTGATGCTTTGGCAACAAACATTACATAAATGAACTTGCCAATTGCCAATCAAAAACCCTGTCATCGCAAATTATAATCATCATTTTAAAAAAAACGGGGATTAAATAAATTCTGTTTTATTTTGTAAAGGAGTAAAAATTAAATGCACTACATGTCATAAAAAATTAGAGTCTGCCGGAGTCTGACTACCGCCCTCTATACAAATTTGAACCGTGTCCTTTTATTTTATAAACTCAAATTCTCATTAACCAATGACACTCCAAACAAATCATTATGTAGCAATTTTTTTACGTACGTAGCAAAGTGCTTACAAAAACTTATTACACATGTTAATTAGGTATAAGGCAAATAAGTAGCGGCAAACTTCTTGAGCAAAACCACAGACAGAAAACTTGCGCGGTAGACGTTTTTGTATGTAAAATTGCTATGGCTTCCTTGTCTATGGTCGTTGCTCAAGAAGTTTTCCGGGGTATATAAGCTATAGATTTTAGGCAAGCTTAGTTAGTTGCATTTTTAATAGTAAACTAATAAAAGCACAAAGCGTGATAAGAGCATAATGGATTTCGAATACACTCCTCCTCTCAGTTTATGAGGGGTGATGTCTCAATTTGCTCCGGTGTGATTCGTAAATACGAATTACTTACGGGACCCCATGTTTACACTTTTAGCGCACTTGTGAGCACAAGTGTGATGTGAGCATTGCATTAATGTGAACTTAATATGATAGCAATCTTTATATTTACACAGCAGTCGTAAAAGGGGGTTTACACTAAAAATGCGAGAATCAGTTAAAGCGTAGTAAGTGAATACAATTTGATAATGATAGCACCTTTAATGTGTAGCAATAAGAGCGATATTCGCAATGTGTGTGTTTTACTGTCGTGGCTTCGACTGCTACACACCGTGAATTTTGAGTTACGTGAGAAACTGTACCAGCTAATTCAGAAAACAATTTATATTAATTTCCGTAACTTTTTTTCTGAAAATTCTTTTTGAAGTGAAACTTCCTTACGCACGCTTTACTTGGGGAGTAAGCTGGTGAACGCGTTACGAAAAGTGTAATCGGGCGAGGCGAACGGGTGTTACGCCATCGTTCTAGCGCATATCGTTCTACTGACGATACAATAATTATATTTTTTATAGAGATTTGGTGTTAGCACTCGAAAAAAATGCCATCTAAGAAAACAAAAACCGCTGGCTTCCAATTTTAGCACTGAAAATATTAATGTATTAATAATTTTAAAATTGTGCCTTTAGTCTAAGCACTTCAAACTTTTGGGGCCATACTAATATGTATGTATCCTTAATTTCCAAATTTCGAATCTATTTTGGTTCACATTGTTACATTTTAGTATTTTTGGGCTTGTAATAAAATCGGAGAAACTAAATTGTAATAAATTTAAATTGTAGGTAGTAGGTAGGTACATACCTACATAGAATTTTTAGCAGAACTCTCCCATCAAAATGCACGAGGGAATTTCCCACATTACATAATTTGCGAGTGTTAAATAATGAGTAAATTATGGTATTATTTCGGTGGCATCCTACGGTGCCGTTGACCCGTGGGAACCGCACCTGGGCGGGTGCCTGGACCAAGCATGAGAGAGATACGCTGTTGATGGGACGCATCACGCGATGTCGAGCCCTCACACGCAGGGAAGGAAATGAGAACAAAACAGATAAATAGATATTCTAAATTTCGCACGATGACGTCATCCGTTTGATTAATGATCGCGTTAAGCTCTCACTAAGAACTAAACGACGAACGAATAAAAAATACTTTGTTTCCTTAATCAGTGTTTGTAGGTTTCCTAGCACACTATTCAGACTCAGCGATCATGATTTTACATCCGTAGGGAAGGCCTACGCCCCAGCAGTGAGGAATTTATTAAGCAGCTGAATATGTCAATTACATTATGGATGTAATGTTTAATTTTAACTATGTACGGTGCAATGACCGTACATTCCGCGCGGTCAGCGGTTTACGCCCTCGGCGACAATTTTATTATAATTGTAAAATCAGTTCACAATCAGCAATCGACGTGTGACGTGTCGACTCATTGATCATTATATTTTAGCAATATTTTAACATAAGTTGACGTGTAACTTTACATATCAATAAACGGTTAAATATCACTTTTATCTATCATTTAATGTACGGGATCCGTATATTTATGGTCCTTCGAGGTTTTGACCTTTCGTGCGGGTCGGTCTAAAGCAGGATCATTCGCGCGTGAGGAGTATCAGTGACTAACAGGAATTGCAGTGCTGGCAAGCAAGGATCCAGTAGCTGTGCAGTACCGAGCAGGCGGTGAATCGAACTACAGTCAAGTAAGATCTTTCCAATTTTTTACAAATAAATATGGAAGATTTATTAGCAAATCAGGACCAGTTGGTCGGCACCATGGAGCAGCTTTTCTCGTCTTTCAAGAAGACGGGACATAATTTATGGGGTATATCTGTCAAAGTCATAAAGAATATTATACATTCTATAGCCCCTTACCTTGCTGATATTTTTAATTCATGTATAGATCAAGGAGTATTCCCTGAACTTATGAAATTCAGTAAAATTATACCTTTATTTAAGTCTGGAAATTGTAAAGATCCTAGCAACTATAGGCCAATATCTATATTACCAGCATTAAGTAAAATCTTTGAAAAAATAATGTTAGAACAATTGTTAACTCATTTTAACATTAATAAACTATTACACAGAGCGCAGTACGGTTTCACTAAAAACCGTTCCACGACTGATGCAGGTGCCACTATGCTAAAATATATATTTGATGCTTGGGAAAAGTCGCAGAATGCTCTTGGGATATTCTGCGATTTACCTAAAGCCTTTGATTGCGTTAATCATCAAACTTTGTTATGTAAATTAAATCATTACGGCATAAAAGATACCGCACAAAAATTAGTACAATCATATTTAACAGAAAGGACACAGACAGTTGATATTAACGGTACAAAATCAGCCGGATCTCATGTGAAAATAGGCGTTCCCCAGGGTTCAATTTTAGGTCCATTTCTTTTTTTAATTTACATTAATGATTTACCTTTCTTTGTAGAAAGATTTTGTGACATTTTTTTGTTTGCAGATGACACCTCACTAATTTTTAACATTGACAGGTGTAAAACTAATTATGACGATGTAAACAATGCACTGTCTAAGGTCCTCCACTGGTTCTCTAGTAATAATCTTCTCTAGTAGTTTGGATCCTTGGCGGAATACGTGCTATCAAAAAGCATCAAAAAGCAAATACGTAATTGCGTGACGTGCCGGAAACATAACCCCAGTAAATTGCAGCAGCTCATGGGCGATTTGCCAGAAGCAAGGTGCAACCCTTCACCTAGAGCTTTTTACCACACTGGAGTAGATTTTACGGGATATGTTTTGATAAAGACCAACAAAGGCCGAGGAGTAAAGACCACCAAAGGATACATAGCAGTCTTTGTGTGTGTGACCACAAAGGCCATCCACTTGGAACTAGTATCCGATCTCACAGCATCATCTTTTCTAGCAGCCTTGCGTAGAATGGCAGCACGCAGAGGATCGCCCCGTCACATCTACAGTGACAACGGTACCAACTTTGTAGGAGCAAATAACACTCTCCAAAAAGAGTTTGAGCAGGAAGTCAGTAATGAAGAGGTGATGAAAGAAGTTACTGAAATGGAAATTCAGTGGCACTTTAACGCCCCTTCCCGGCCTTCAGCCAGCGGGTTGTGGGAAGCAGCCAAGTCAAGAGTCTAAAGTACCATTTAAAACGGGTCATAGGCGATCAACACCTGACGTTCGAGGAGTACTCCACCATACTAGCATAGCTAGAAGCATGCCTAAATTCGCGACCTCTATGTCCAATTTCCGAGGATCCAGATGATTTGGATTTCCTAACACCAGCACACTTCCTGACTGGAGGATCAGCACTAACAATAACAGAAACCTAAAGAGATCTTCGAAGTAGATGGCATTTAACGCAGAAAATTTTCCAAGACACGTGGAATAGATGGCGCATGGAATATCTAGACCAGCTAACTGCCCGAAGCAAGTGGAAAAGGACTCAAGATAACATCAAGGTCAACGATATCGTACTCATTCATGATGATAACTTACCAGCAGGTAAATGGTTAATGGGTCGTGTTGTCGAGTTGCACCCAGGAACAGATGGTTACGTCAGAGTAGTAACCCTTAAAACAAAAAATGGTTTCATAAAGAGACCCATCATTAAATTATCAATTTTGCCGATAATCAATACAAAGGAAAATAAAAATAAATCGTCATCAAAACAGCAACAATCAGAACCGAACGATAATCATAACCGAAAATTTTCATTCAATTCTGTCGTCATGGTATTGTTATTTTATATGACAATTATAGCAAATGCATCCTGTTCTTACAACATATCCGAAATTCAAGACAAGCAAATCGGATAAAGTTTCCAATATGAGATTAATCAGAGACGAATGGAAAATATTAGCGTTTTACGACATGGATCCTTATCAACAAGGAATAAATGCTCTAAGTAAATATATTAAATACTTAGGTGATCAGTGCATGAAAATAAACAAAGGTGTTCAATGCGACATACTCGTGTTACAGTTACATCACGGGTATAATGAACTACAATATTATAATCACATGCTGCTGAGTCAACACTCGCGCACGCGGAGACAGCGGCGCGGCTTGATAGACTGGGTCGGCTACGTCGCAAATGGTCTATTCGGTGTGCTAGATCAAAGATTTGCAGATCAGTATAAAAAAGACATTGAGCTTATTAAAATAAATCAAAAACATATGGCATTGTTGTGGAAAAATCAGACTTCTATCATTGAATCAGAATACGATGTCTTGAAGAGAACAGAAAATTTGATTGATAAACAGCACAAAGAAATAAATCAACATATATTGCTATTGGACGCGGCCGCTAATAAAATGAAACAAGAAATGCAACAGCAGCTTGATATAAACACGTTTACAATCACAACAGCTATAGCCAACAACATGCTGCAAAACTTAAGAAATATACAAGACGTATTATCCGATACGATAATTGATATTTGGGTGAATCAACTTTTAAGGTACTCCTTTGGCGACCTGTTTGTGACAAATGTTAATGTAATATTGTAATCGATTTTTAAACAAAACGTGCAATATTTATGGTCAAAATTTACCTTACCTCATGTAACAAATACGGGCCGCGACATTTGTATTAGGGTTTTTGAGTTTTTTTGTGAAATGACAATAGCAGTCTTGATAATATTCTCTTGCGTTACTGTGATAATATTTATTTTTAACAAATAAAACAATTCTTATATTTTGTTCAAATTGTATTTGTTAACAAACATAACGTAATCACAGTCTTTCGTTAGAATCAGTCTTAGTATTAAGTAATATTTAAGAGAAAACGGAACTTAAACAATTCTCTCGCGTTACTTTCCATAATTTTGCTCTTTTAACTTTAATCGTAATCTCTACTCGATAAACCCAATCTTTATACCTTTATTTCTAAGATAAAATTATAGCTTACTTTACATTTACATCAACTATTTTCAGTCCTTTAGCTTAAACAACATACTTAATAAGTTCACAAAACATGTATATAGGGACATTTGGTAACGCATGAGAAAATTTTTGGTAACACATGAGAATGTTTTTAAAAGTTTACCTTAGATATTAACAAGAAAGAAAATAAAATATATAAGTATAAGTTTAAACAACATTAAAATGAATCAAGGACATATAGAATAGAAAGAAACTAAAATTACTTTTCATAAACATTCACAGTTTCTTTAAACTGATAATATGTACGATATCCTTTCTTAATAACGTTAGGCTCACTCAATTTCTGAATCACATCATCGTACTCTACATAGCAAATATCCTTATCATCAATTCGAAATCGTGTAGCAGCTTTGTCAACTACCCGCAAAAACATGACTTTAATTTCACCGTCATCTTCAATTTCACTTAACGTTTTGCAAGCGTACGAGTACGAGTAGCTTTTAGATACGTCGACATAAACCTTGACTAGTAGAAAATCGCCTCAGCCTATTCTACTGTTTTCTTTGCCGCAACTAGTAGAAGGCTGTTCATCATCTGATGAATGACCATAAACATTTTCGTAAATCTTTTTGCGTGTATTGGTGAGGTCCTTTAACTCTTGAGATATTTTTAATGAAATCAAAGGCTCCTCGTCATCTGAAGAAAAGTGTGTCACTTCTGCGGTTTTCGATTTATGCGAACAATCTTTTTGCGACTGTGACAAAGAAGAGCTTGGCATGTTTTCGTCATTATCTACTATTTTACTAGCAGTTCTGACATCGTAAACTTTTGGTTCCAGGCATTTGCAAAATCCTCTTCTACCAAAAATTCCCTTATCACAGAAACAGCTTAGGTCTCTAAATTTTAGAATACCGCGGCAATCTGTAAATACCTGGTGAACTTTGAGAGTCCCGATAAGTCTTGGAATATTACTCGGTATTGCCCTCTGCAAATCTTGAATATCTTTGTCTTCTATTAGATGAAGTTGTATTTTGCTGGCGTTATTCAGCTTTTCATGAAATTGATAAACATCTGCAATATCCTCACCATTCGCTACAATTTGATCTGCCGTCCTTTTGAGAAAACCTCTGACGCCATCAGCTGGTCCTTTGCCATGGCCTGATTCAAAAAATGACCAAGTCATAGCAGCAAATCCATAATCATCAAAAAATTTCGTGCACATGAAATAAAAATTCTGTTTTTGACGATACTGTGTGCTGGGCCCATCAGAATAAAAATGAATGGTATCAACTGTAGTAAATTCAGACCTTATCCATTTAAGAATCGGATCTAGGTGACACCAAATTGCAGCTGGCTGATGGTTATTGGATGCAGATACAGTAAAAAATGAGTGGACATTGTGACCTGCAGCGACTTCTTTGTCATAAGTATACACAGCGACTGTATGCAGTGAGATTTGTTTTCGCGACCCACCAAAATGATGTGACTGTACCTCTTGACCGTATTTACAGTTGTAATTTTCACTGAAATCTGCAATAAAAATGCACTCATTTAGCTGAATTTGCTCGAGACAACGCCGGAAGCTTAGGAATTGTGATTTGATGTTGAAGACATGTTTTTTCATAGCAGTTAGGTCTTTCTCATATCTGGTTATGAAGTCCTCCGCAGTTGCGCTCATTTCTTCTTTAACGTTCTTTATAGTTTTTATCATCTTTCCATCTTTTTCATACTTCTCTTCTTTTCTAACCCATTCAGCCCATCTGATTTCATCTTTTATTTTATCAGTGTTATTTTTCTTTTTCTTGTTTCGACACATGGTGCAGATTCCGTACATACAATCTTTTAAATAGCGTCACAGACTGTAGACTCGATTAAGATATTCATGTCATCAGTTCCTACAATACCCTTTTTTTTTCAAAGAATTCGTTTTGTATGCAAAATTTGCATGTATTTTACACATGCACGTGTCACGAGCATCAATAGAAGCTTTAACTACAAAAAATGGCTTGTTTTTGATAAAATAGAAATATGAACAACGTAACTCAGGGTTCTCTTTTTTGAGACTTTCAAAAGGTGGAGGTTTTTCATTCCATCTAATAAGTATCTTTTTTGTGTTTTAGTCTTTTGCTTTGTTACCGTTTCCTTTTTACCAGCAGATGCTCGTGAAATATCGTCTCTAAGAAAAAAGTCTTTAATTTTGGTTTTTAGTACTGTTTGTCTCACCATACTAAATTTTACTTTCTTAACTTTGTCAAGACCTAAATTTTCAACAAGTATTTTTTTTCTTATGCGTGACTGTCTGACTTCATGCGTAGAAAATATTTTCATTATTACTTGTTTCTCTTTTCTAGATCTTGTACTTTTAAAAGTATTTTTTATGGCTGTACTTAAAATATTGTATCGTAAATCGTCTTCATTCTGCGTCTTCTGTATTTTTTGCGTTTCCTTGTCTCATTTTGTCTTAGATATCTTTTTTTTGTATTTTTCACATTTTCGTTTCAGCTTTACATTTTCTTCTGTCAGTTTCTTATTTTCTCTGTAATCTTTTGATCTGTTCTTCTTAATTTTTTTTCTACCTCTTGCTTTTGCTAATGATGGTGAACTAGCTGGTGGAGGAGTACCCATTGGAGGCAAAGGCGGTGGCGTTTGGATATCGTCACGCAGGCTAGAGCTTGGAGATTCCGGTGGCGTATATTGTAATAACCTTTCAGTGTTCTGCTTTCGTTTTTTCAGGTCTCGTTTTCGCAGTCTCCATATCAGATTGGCATTATATTTTTCTTTAGGTGTGAGATCTTTAACCAGTCTTTTGGTTTTGTGATAACGTTCTCTATGTTTCCGTTTTGCATCTTCATACTTCACTGCATTAAGTTTCTGTCTCTCTCTATATTGTTTTTGTTTTTCTGCGGCGGTCAGTGCCATTACTGTAATAAATATTATCAAAGTTATAAAAATAAATAGAAATCCCTGCTGTATTGAAGAAACAAAATCAGAATGAGTATGGTATTGTCTACTACATTCTCTGGCGTTACCGGTATCGCAGTAGAAATATTTAAATAAAATCAAAATTATGTCAATAAGTTATGAAAGAAGTTTTTTTTGACATGCTATAAATATAAAAATAAATAAAGTAAAACATTTGTCTATGTGAAATAGTTTAGTTTTTTATACGAATCAATCTCGAATGACAAATCATCTTAAATGCAGTTTCCCCTTACATTCTCCTGCGTTATCGGTAACGCGGGAGAAAATGTATAAAAAATCTTAAGTAAATCAATAGGTATTAAAAGAAACCAAAGGACACTCGGCATTTTGTGCCAAAGTTGTATACTTTTTTAATTTTTTTATCTGTGTTTCATAATTGGGTAACGTAGTCTGGCAATATTTGTCATCAGCAGCTAGCTGTCAATGTCAAATACGTAGGTTTGTCAATATAACCTCTGTATGTAGCCGGGTCGTCAAGAGAAATAACGGATAAAAAGGCAATCACAGCAGAGAACATTCACAATCACAGTACGCGGGAGCGGATGCGAAATGGGAATGATTTTTTTGTTTGTATTTTAGGATTGTCAAATTGACATTTGGTTTTTTATTTAGAAAAAGCAAAGGAATCATGGTTTTTTACAGTCACTTGAGTAATATTTTGAAGTAAAATTCTGTCCCTTGAAGATTTAGGGTTTCCATATCAAAAAATATTAATCATTATATAACTTCTTTCCACGATTCACTAAAAATAAGGCAAAAGTAGTTTTATGTAGCAAATAATTTTGGCTTTATTTTGAGACCAAATTCAACTGTATACAAGTTTAGCATTTTTTCTATGAAAAGTGCCGGGTCTCCTTTTTCCGTCACCCTTTAAAAATCAGAGTTCAATAGCACTTCTGTAAATAATAATATCCAAATTATTCCAAAACTTACCGCGATCTTCGTCGTAACGTAGCAGAATCACAATAAACCCACGCACACCCTACGAGAACTGGCCGCGCACTGGCGGTTGGCCGGTGTCGCCTTGACCTTGACGGAATGTTTCGCTGTTATTGTAGGTAATTTAGTTCGTAGGAAATTAACGCGCACTGCCATCTATCGGTTTTTTGGGACACCTTTGGTCGGTAACGCTGTAGAATTGATTTCTCCTCCGGTATAAGGGACAAAGGTATTAGGTTAAACAAAAAAAAATGAAACTAAATAAAAAAATAATATGACAAAAATTATAAAGTGAATTTGATGGTGAATAAGCTACGGTAAAATAAAAAAATACTTTAGTGTAAAAAAATTGAGAAATTTAAAGGAAATGTATAGTGCTTAGCTTGAGGACACGTTTTTTTTGTATGTGAATAGCATTTGTTCTGCTGAGTTACCATTTCAATTCAATAAATTATATTATCGAATATTGTAAACTAATCAATTTTACAATCACTTAAGAATCTAACTTCAATAATAAACTAAATTTATGATTCTGTTTTCATTAAATATTGTTTTTTTGTAAATTGTTTGCCAGGGACACGAAAGGAGTACCTTAAAAGTTGATTCACCTATTTACCATGGTCGATTTAACCCACACTTAATATCGCCGGAGCAACTGAAACGCGAATTAAGCAAGATAGCTAGTCAATTACCAAAAGACTTAGCCCTGCCAACTGATGACATACAAAGCGACATTAAAAATATTTATCAAATGCTATCAGTAAAAACGAGAACGACAGATATTGTCTTTTTGAGATAACGGTCCCACTGGTAAGCCACGACTTTTTCGAAATTTATAATTTAATCCCTATTCCTCAGCAATCCCAGAATAACAACATCAGCATAATGCCAAAAACAGCATACATTGGTATCAATCTGAAAAAAGATCTTTATATTACTATCACCGAAACAGAGTTAAAAGAATGTTTACATATCGCAGAAATCTCTTTGTGTCGATTACAAAACTCTATCAATCACCTCACAATATATAATGACCTTTGTGAGTTGAATTACGAAACTCATCAATGCGAATTTAAAATAAAGCCCTGCAGTAATGAATGGATAAGAATGAACAATTTAAATACATTTGTTTACTTTTGCTGCGACGGGTGTCAAGTGCGGATATTATGCGAAGATCAAGTTACCGCTCAACAGCTGTCTCGCGCTGGCATTATCAATCTCGGTCAAGGCTGTATGCTAAAAACAAGAAATTTTACCATATATGCACATAGACAAATGAGTAGTGATTTGAAAATTGTGTCCCAACTAGACTGTCCTTACATACCTCCAATTAATCACGTGATGAACTTTTCGCTGCCTCAACGAATAGAAAGCGCAGATCAGTCAGCAACACTAGAAACGCGAGAGAAAATGAAGAAAATACATGAGAGAATACGTGTTTTGCAAGACAATCAGGAACAATAAAAGATCATATCATGATGTGCATCACTACACAGCAATTTACGTAGTGGTAGGCATTGTTATCATACTGGCCTGCCTGGTCGTGTGGCAGTGGCGAAGGTACGCAGTATCTCGCCCTTCTAGTGGCGAAGTAACCAGGCGAACCAGCGAGGTGGCCGCAGCGCCGGGGACTCCGCCCCAGGCGCCCGCCACCTCCTCCAGCAACACTAACAGTCATAAGTGTCAGTGTAAGGTACTAAGTGCAAGTGAGCGCCGTAAGAAAATAGATAGAGGCACTTTGCCTTTTGTTCAAAAATCAGTGTTCAAAATACGTGAACAAATAGTATAGTGTAAAAAAAGGGACTTCTTTTATCAACTTTTAGAAACTTAAAGACCTAATAGATCAACATATCTCATCTATGATTTTATTAGTATTAATCTATTTTTTTGTTAAAATTTTCTTATCTTTGTCCCTCGGGAACATGTACGGTGTAATGATCGTACATTCCGCGCGGTCAGCGGTTCACGCCCTCGGCGACAATTTTATTATAATTGTAAAATCAGTTCACAATCAGCAATCGACGTGTACGCATTGATCATTATATTTTAGCAATATTTTAACATAAGTTGACGTGTAACTTTACATATCAATAAACGGTTAAATATCACTTTTGTCTATCATTTAATGTACGGGATCCGTACAAACTACTTAAAATTCGAATGATAAAAGAAAATAACGGAATATAGGCACTAGGTACCTTTTTCGTACTCGTACCAGATTGATCGTTTAGAACTAAGATTAAATGCTTTGAACACGGACTCAAACAATAAATTTTAGTTCTAAATGATCGACATAAATTAAGGATACCTATAGTATGCGCCCAAAAGACCGAAGTTCATAGAATCTAGGTAGGATATTTAGCAAAAAAATGACAAATAGTTTATAAATAAAAATGATGTGGTGTCGTGGGACACCAGGTAGGAACGAAGTTCCTTCGGCTAATGCGCATTTAACGGTTTTATTCCACGCACTTTTTTCCACGGATTTTTTCTTACGGTTTTACTATCACATTTTTTTCAGTTCGGTCAGCTAGTGTTCGTAAAGATTGCTAGGCAGGACTGGCCCACAGTTTATAATAAACTACAATGTCACAATAATCCAGTAATGCAGCCCCGTCGCTCTGCTACCCCCCTGGACTTAACCACAGTTTAGTATAATATACGACAATAATCCAGTGTTGGTATAATGCCACAATAATTTGGGGTTGTACCCCCGTCGCTCTGTCACCCCCTGTTAAGTACTGACCTTGTTATCATGTCTAGCTTAAGTTTACAGCAGATGGCAGGCGTTCCTGGTTCACAGCTCGGTATAACGTCACAAATATCCAGATTTCGTGTAATGTCACAATATTCCAGTGCTGCACCCTCGTAGCTGTGCCACCCCCTACATACGCACCTTATTATCATGTCCCGCTAGCGTTCGTAAAGGATTCTAGGCAGGACTGGCCCACAGTTTAGAATAAACTACAATGTCACAATAATCCAGTGATGCACCCCCGTTGCTCTGCCACCTCCTGATAAGTACTCACCTTGGAATCATAATCATGTCTCACAGGCGTTACTGGTCCACAGCTTGATATAACTTCACAAATATCCAGTGTTGGTGTAATATCATAATATTTCAGTGATGCACCCTCGTTGCTCTACCACCCCCTATAACTTCACACATATTCAGTGTTAGTGTAATATAACAATATTTCAGTGATGCACCCTCGTCGCTCTACCAGCCCCTATAACTTCACACATATTCAGTGTTGGTGTAATATCACAATATTTCAGTGATGCACCCTTGTCGCTCTACCACCCCCTATAACTTCACACATATTCACTGTTGGTGTAGTATCACAATATTTCAGTGATGCACCCTCGTCGCTCTACCACTCCCTATAACTTCACACATATTCAGTGTTGGTGTAATATCACAATATTTCAGTGATGCACCCCCGTGGCTCTGCCACCTCCTGATAAGTACTCACCTTGTAATCATAATCATGTCTCACAGGCGTTACTGGTCCACAGCTTGATATAACTTCACAAATATCCAGTGTTGGTGTAATATCACAATATTTCAGTGATGCACCCTCGTCGCTCTACCACCCCCTATAACTTCACACATATTCAGTGTTGGTGTAATATCACAATATTTCAGTGATGCACCCTTGTCGCTCTACCACCCCCTATAACTTCACACATATTCACTGTTGGTGTAGTATCACAATATTTCAGTGATGCACCCTCGTCGCTCTACCACTCCCTTTAACTTCACACATATTACGGGAGTATAATACGCCGCACAGCTTACAATAGCTTACTATAGCAAAAAGTGTCGTGACAACTTTTCGTAAGAATTTTTTCCGTCTAGCCCCCTTTCACAACGCGCGATAAGGAACTTCGTTCCAAAAGTATCTTCGCTATATTGAATTTGATGAATTTTAATAAAAAAAAAACAACACTTTAATGTCTGCATAATTATGTTGAAACTTTTATCTAGGCAAGTAAAGTCGGATTGCCAAAAATATGCTGTAAATAATGTCTAATGGGTGAGTCGAGAACAATTGTCAATTAAATGACGAATCCCCATTAAAAGTAATGGAAATCATCGTGTCAAAATGACCCCATGGCACCGCATGACCGCTCTACATCGATTAGCGAAAGGTGCACAAACACTTGATGGGGTCGCGGCCGCGGCTGGCACCGAGCGCATCATCAAACACACCCTGTACCCAACTATACTCTATTCAACTTCCTCTGAGACAAAAGGTAAACAAACAAACCAATGTTTCAAAAACTTTTTTATCAAGAAAAAAGATGGCCAGTGTAAGCAGACTGATTACAAAATTTCATATTTCAACGTAAATAATTAGCTTTATCACTACTCTTCAATTTCGTAGTATTATAATGCGTTCAAAGTTTGCTAAGAGCTAGTTTTAGGTCATTATAATGTTACTTTTTTAAAGTTATGTTTTCATATTCATATAATAATGCGACCTATTTAAAAACGTTTTTATAGTTTGTTTACATTTTATCTTAAAAGAACTTGAATAGAGAACAGAGTATAATTACTACTGTGATTACAAACTATAGGTTCATTTCATTGCTTTATTCTATTCAAGCAGGGCCTGATTTAGAGTTAACTATGGATATTCTCCCCCCCCCCCCCCCTTTCTCCTACCTTTTCATTCACTTACAGCTGCAACTAAAGCAATTACAATTATAGAAGAAAGACTAAGTAAATTAGAATACTTTTTGGGACATTCCGGAACAAGACGCAATCCATATCAAAAGGAAGAAAACACATTAAAATTAAGAGGAAAAATAAATTACGCGATTTGAGGTCGGGAATGGTGTGGGGACCTTCCAAGGGGAGAAACCTATCGGAACAAATTTCAATGGCAAATTTATAGGTAACTAAAAAATCTATACTTACAACTTTTCTATTCACACTTTTTTCAAATAACCTTAAAATATCTACGAAAAATCAAAAGAAACGACTTTTTGTTTTTTATTATTATCTCCCACAAAAAAACTTTCTACTCACGAAATTTGGTGAAAACTAACCACGCTCAATTTTTTCGATTATAATATTTATTTTTCCAATTAAGTATATTGATATTATTGCAAAAAAAAAATTGTGTGTGTCAGCTCCGACGCACGACTGGAGTTTACTCCTTATGTTTGATAGTCTAACCAGACGCAAAAAGAGTTTATTTAACTTAAAAAAGATTGATACTGTATGAAAGGGTAAATTAATAAATTAATGAAAATAATATATAAATACTAGCTGACCCAGCGAACTTCGTACCGCCCTAAAAAATAGGGGTTGTCCAGCGGACAAAATTGTGAATCTAAACCATTCTCAGATCCCCTTGAACACACACAAAAAAATTCATCAAAATCGGTCCAGTCGTTTAAGAGAAGTTCAGTGACATACACACTCACAGAAGAATTATATATATAAAGATATATTTATTCATTTCATATACATTTATTATAACTAATCGACGAAATATTTAACATTAAACTTTTTTTACAATAGTCAATTTCAGATGTGCATAAATATATCATTAGGAATGTTGATAAATTATGTAATTATTATTATCAGACTATTATCATTCCTTAAATATTAATTAAATCAACATTGGTGTCAATTCTGGTATGATTCTCTAAAGCTAAACTTAAATTTGACAACAGTGTATCTCTGTCATTCTCTATACAGACTGAAAAGGACAGACTGATGTCAAATTTAGTTTTAAGTTTAGAGAATCCTGCCAGAATCGACACCATTGTCTGCATTATTAATTACAGTGACAAGTGGTTTATGGTAACTAAAATAAGACACATGGACGTTCGTAGATACGTGGTTCACGAATCTTGAAAATACCGCATCAATGGTTGTACCATACCTCGTTGTCCCCATTGCTCTATCAGAAACAATATCTTAATTCAGTTCAGATTTTAAAATTTTTATTAATGTCAATCCGTCATCTTTGTTTGTCAAAGTTGCGCGACGCGATAGGATGCGCACCAAAAACGTAACGAGGTCATTCATCGATAGATTTTACTCCTCACATTTTTCTCATACCGGGCCCCTTATATATGCAAATCGATTCTTAAGGAGTAAACTCAAAAAATAATATATGTTCTGTTAAAATGAAAATTTGTTATTTTAAGTTATTGTACATCTTAGTGTTTTTATTTGTTTTGTTACCTTAAGTCATGGTGGGCGATAACAGAATCATGTTGTTAAGTTAAATATTTGTAAGGACAAATCTCAGTTTGTCCTTGGTGGGCGATTATGTATACGCCATTTGTGCATTTAAAATTTTAGTTCATATGTATCAAAATAGATGGCGCTGTAGTTCGTTGCATCACGCTTGTAAATATGTTTGGAGCTACATATAGGCAAAACGTCACCTAACTAAAACCTTATTTTCAATCGTGAAAAGTTGATTTTCATATAAGTTTTGTGTGTTTTCTCTGTCTCTATCTGTGTGTGATCTTTCGATACGGTAATTAGTGATTTTCATAGATTTTAACAATTTAAGCTTGAATTATTTAGAACTTATAATAATGACTTATAGCCAACTTAAGCAGCGATTTCAAAATCTTATTGCAACCAAAGATTTAAATTCTTTAAATGTAACATTAAACACCGATTTTGTATGACAAGGGGAAAAACAAAGTGAACCTTTACCTCTCACGATGATTTTCTTATGTTCCTCTTTATTCTGCATATTGCCCATTCCCATCAACATTGAATCTGATGCGCCTCTATCGGTACGGACCTATCAGAAATAAACTTTGTCATAAATTACAAACAACTAAAAACAACCCTTTAAAAACAATTGTCGTTCAATAAATTAATACAACTCCCTTTTTTTCCTCGCCTTCGTACGGATCTATCAAAAATAAACTTTTTATTTCATAAATTGCAAACAACTACAAAAACAAAAAACGAAGTAGAAGCTACGAAACAGATTGTTGTATTTCGTACCAATCTTCGTAGCTTCTACTTTGTAGAACGTTCGTAGCCTTATAGGGAAGATGCTACGAAGCCGAGTAAAAAAAGAGAGTGGTGGTGGTTATTTATTGCACGACTATTTTTAATTTTACGCGTTTTTTGAAGTAGTTTGCAATTTATGATACTGATTGGCGGTTTTCTTCACAGAAATACCTTGATTTATTTATAGGACTCGAATGGTGTTTTATGTTTGTTTTAACAATACGAAAAGTCACTGTTTCTTAGTACGCATACTTACTCTAAAATCCTTTTTCACTATTTTTTTTTAAGAAAATATCAATATTACTCTTTCTATGCTAATAATTACTTACCAGCTCTCCTAAGAAGCTGATGTAGCCAATAGCCAGTTTCAACGTGTCCACTTTGGACAAACGTTTCTCGTATGGCAATGTCGGTATGTGAGCGCGCAGGCCTTCAAAGGCATCGTTGATTGATTGCATGCGGCGCCGCTCGCGCAGGTTGGCCGCCTGTCGCTGCTGAATCTGTTGCTGTGGGCATCTAGACCGCCTTTTGTGGAGACGTCTGCAATCCGACCTGTTAACAATACTATATTTATCAAAGGAGTCGAAGCAACACGGACTTACGGAACTTTTGACCAATCCTACTAATATTATTAACGTGGAACTTTGTATATTTTTTACTGAATAACACAAAAACTATTGAATGGATTTGAATGAAATTTTATACGCATAGAGTTTATGATCTGGATTAAGGCATACGATACTTTTTATCCCGGAACAATTACAGGTTCCTGTGAGATTTTCAAATAACTAAAGTAAACGCGAACGAAGACGCGGGCGGTCTCTAGTTTTAAATAATTTTAATATTTATAATATTCTGTTAATGATAACCAATTTGATTTATTAGTAACTAAAGAAAGAACACCTTTGAATAAATTATACATTTCTTAACTATAAATACAAAATATCAACTAATAAAACTTGTCGTAAATGATGCATGTTGCTTACTCTTTTTTGATGTCTGTGTTTTGTGGAAAAGAACTTTTTAGACTTCTTCTTACATGTGAGTTGCTATCAGCAGTCACCGTAGATTGGACTATACTTCATTCCATATAACATTAAAAAGAAGTAAAAAAGGGTTCTTTTATAGGTGCACATTTACACCTGATTGTGGTAATAAATGTTTAAGTACGCTTATGTCAATTTATGCATAAAATGTACAAGCCATCTAAACAATTAAGTTATTTACACGGCGACCGACCAATCTGGGCAGGACAAATCTACGTAGTGCTACGCCGCACCACACGGCGCCGCCGTGACTGGTCGTTTGCCAGTCTCGCACGGCGGTTTACTGTAGATGAATATGATACAAATATAATGAAATAGCTGCAAATAAGTTTATTTCCTGTTAGGTACGAAATTAAAAATGTAAAATTTTGACACCTCCAAATAATTACAAATATACTCATAAAAAAATCTAAGCAACATATTGTGCAGTTTTGAACTTTTGAATGATTTTACTATTATTATATACTATACTATTAAAAACGCAATCGAAAAATTTCTATTTTTAAATTTAGCTACCTTACTATAATTTCAAGAACAAAAATATTATTATACCAATCTACTTTGCTATGAAAGAAAAAATTAACATTAGTTAATAAAACATACATTTTCTATAAACGATGCGGGTTGCTTAGACTTTTTTGATGTGTGTAGTAATTTAATTAAAGAAATCTCGTTTTTTACCACAAAACACATCGTATAATTCCTTAAAAAGATGTTTAGTAGATTGTATGCAATTATTATTCCTATATTTTATGATGACGTCGTTCATAATCAAATCAGGTTGTAAAAAAAATATCCGATGTGAATGATGCCATTTTATAATCGATTTATGACAACGGGAAAATCAACATCACAAATCTGTTTTACATTTTGTAGGTATTGTAGCGTTACGGCTTCCTTGCTTATATAATGCCTACGGCTGGCAGTTGTATTAAAAGTAAATGTCAATATTTTAAGGATTCGAAGGTGAGAACCTTCAGTCTCACATAGAAGATTCCAGAGAGATTGAATTCAGGCACATACTCGATCGGTTGATTATATTTAATCGTATTTTATATTTTCCTGAATTCGAATAAACCAAGTTAAGAGTCCTAAGTGTTCATAATTTAGTATTATTGAGCTTCGTATATAGCTACTATATTTCCAGAAATGTGGACCTGGGGAAGTTTCACCGTTCTGGAGAACCCTACAGTACCAAACGTACCGCTCCGCTCAGTCGTAGGTATATATTTCAAGAACGTGGCTGAGTTACGCTACTGTTCTTCTCTCTATTGTGCTTGTACGTTCCATTTATCCAGGTATTTCAGCTCATCCAGGTGTTTCGTCTAATAGAAATGGACGAAAACGAAAACGTAATATAGGTATTTCTTGGTATCGCAACAGGACAAAACAAGGGAATCGTTTAAAATCGAGATTATTGGGCAAACTACAACTTCTATCAAAAATATTTCAATTTCAAAATTATAGATAAACAGGTCCTACCTTCAGGTAAAAAAAATATCTAGATGATTTTTTTCCACATAACCGAAAAATATCTGCAAAAATCGATATAAAGTACTTTTTGGCCTTTTGTTATTATCTCCCATAAAAAACTTATCTCACAAAATTGTGTGAAAACTTGCCGTTTTATGTCTCAAACACGTTCTAACGTTTTCGATTTAAAATATTCATTTTGCCAATTAAGTACTTATATTGATATTATTGCGAATCGAAAAATCTCTATCAAAAAGTAGATTTTTGTATTTCTTGTTCTTTGAAACCTCTTCTTTCTGATGATATACAAAAAACATACATGAAAAGGAAAACATTTTCAGAAAATGCAAATGAGTCGTCATGATTCTCGTACTATTAAGGGTGGAAAATGGGTTTATTGCGATTTCCGGAAAACCTACGACTCCTATCGAAAAAAAAATAAAGATCTACAACTTTTATACATATTCGCTCCTTTTTTCACAGCTCTTAAGGCCAAAATAACCGACTTTTTGTTATTTATTAAAAACTTACTAAAAAGTGTAAATGCAGATATAAATACAGAATAGAAGTTGTTGATTTTATAATTACTTACAATTTTCAAACGCGGACCTAGGTTCTATCAGTTGATACAAATACAAGATAAAAAAATAACTGCACCTAAGTAAATAAATAAAAGAGAAAAGGAAACAAATTAATGCAACACTTACTTTAATATTAGTAAATCTATTTATTATGTTCTAAAATATAAAGGAAGAAATAAAAAAGGTTAACTTCGAGAATTGAGAACATTATATAAATCTCCGTGCCCTTGCTTTCTGGCTCGCGAATCTTTCCACAAAAAATATTATCTTTTAATAACGATTTTGTTCGGGTTGATGAAACAATCAATGATTTGGAATATGTTTGTCTGAGAACGCACGCACGAACAAGAATTTTATTTTAACACACGCATTTTCTCAAAATTGTTATTGCGCTGAGCTGAGACTTATCAAAATAGAAGAACTTGAGTGACTGACTGACTGACAACGCACCGCCCAAACCGCCCAACCGCGGGTCTAGAGACTCCAAATTTAACACCTATGTCCTTATAAGGGGTTATATCAAGGGGTGCACTAAGAAAGGATATTTCAATATAGTTTCTTAGCGCACTCTTTAAAAAAGGCTTAAAATAGGGGATTAAAGTTGAAGACTTGAAACTTGCGCGAATACTAAACAAATGAAAAAAACTTTGAAATTTTTGGTTTTCCTAAACTAAAGAGATTGGGAGGGGGTCAAAGTTTTATGAACTACTAGTTGGCTATGCAGTGTAAATGAAATAATGTTTTAAACAGTCACAACAAGTACTCTACAAGTTATGTGTAAAACTAGAATATGACTTGTTTCTTGGTCTAAACAGGGTTTACAATAACCGAATGTGCAAATATTTTTTTCGATTGTAAGCAGGTACCTACCTAATTTGTGAGGTTAGGTTAGCATGCTGAATCTGTAATAAGTTTTTTTCTTGCCTTTCATAAAATAGAAAATTCACATGCCGATTCCACACATAAATTAATTATGTTTTTGAACGCCATCCAATATTACAGTTAACTTCATTCGTTATTTTATTTAACACATAGAAGTTAAACTTTCGCAAGTGCATAATATTTAAGGTGTTAAAAGAAATGTACTAGGAATATTTATGTAAGATACTTATTTATATTCGCTCAGCAGCCTAAAATTAATTAACATTAGCAGGAAAATAAAGATAAATTAAATCAAATGAAAAGTTATAAATACAGTATAACTAATTTTGAACAAAATTACTAATAAATATAAACAATCTTACCGTTTTCTTGGCGTGGAGTGATTTTCCTGGTCACTGGCGTACAGACTGCAGTCGGACATCGAAGAATCATCATAGAGGAACATGTCAGAACTATTGGCTGATAACGGCGAGCCGTCCACATTCACGGGTATCACACCGACTGCCTCCAGCACCGGGCACCTCATATGCCCATTACCACCCTCCATATCAAACATTTCCCAAGAAACGATCACGGATTTTGCAGTCACTTTTCCATTTGATTTGCAGTTTCAAACATTCGAAATGATAAAAAGTGGAAATACTCGTAGTAGTTCGCCCGGCGTGTTCTGCCAGGTGTAGTTGTGAAACTGAGCGATATCAGAGGGAGTGAGGGCCCGACAACCTGCGTTGCGCCCCGCCCTTCGTTACTCTCCGCCCACAAGTTCGCCACCCATTCTATAATGGCCTTTGTCTTATTGAATAGGAGAAGCACACGTACTTAGCAATGTTGAAACTGTATGTATTATGCGTTTAGCGTACAATCAACGACATTTAAACTGGCGTGTAGGTATCGCTTTTATGTAGGTACATTAGTGAATTATGGATTTTTTTTAACGAAGTTCTTTTTCGGACAGTACGGACTTGGTATATGGGGACTAGGCGAAAGAAAATGTAAGATTTTTTCCGTCACAACCGTCAGTCGAAAGGACATTGCTCGTTCCCCATACATTGAATGCCCTAGAACGCACAGCAATGAGAAAATGCTAGTTGTGTTCGGAATCATTCATAAACTCTAATTAGGCATTTGTTGAGATACGGACAACTTATAGAACCGTAGACTAGTACAGAATGTATTAGATTTTGAGGTTATAATTATTATACTTAATCGTAAAAGATGTACATTATATATATTCTGAATAGATTTAGTATTTACCTCTATGTAAGCACTTAAATAATATGCATTAAATGAACATAAAATCTAATTACTAATAAAAATAATAAATGCTTATATTCATATTGATTTATGAGTGTTGGCAGTTGGCACCTATGATACCTATACCTACCTGTAGTAATAATAGATTTCTTTTCAAATGAAATGTTCAAAGTCTATCCATTTACCTGTTTCTATATTTTACTATCGGTAAATAAGTATACCTGGTTATCATTATGATTTTCATAAAAATAAACAGATATTACATGGGATGGGAGTATAAACTATCTTGACATAATTTCAGAAATAATCTTTTTAAAAATATAATATAAATACAAGTGATAAGTTTTATTAACTAAGGTACCTAGTTCTATTTTTACCCGACTGCAAGACGAATGCAAGAGCGCGAAGCGTGACGCGCAGACAGGGTATAGTGTTTAACAGTCTATATATGTATGTTTGTTCCTTTGTGGCACACTAGAGACCAAACGCCTGGACCGATTTTGATGATTCATACATCAATCGATTCGTCTCAATCATGGGAGTGCTACTAAAGATGATAATAATCAAAATTCAATATGGGGAATTAGGCGCCATATAGTGACGAAGTAAAAAAATAAGTTGACAAAATATGTCGAGTGGTGTATTATTGTCTAGATAATCGAAAATCATGTTTAGGTTCCTAGCACCATTTTTCATTTTATATGATTGTTTAGGATCTACAACGCTTTAAAGTTGTATAACCAATTGCGCTTTTAATTTCAATCTTACGTTTGTATAGATCTTTGTTACTCTTTCACCGAAAAAATACTGAATGGATTTTAATGAAACTTAAACAGTAATATAGCTCATATATGATATTAACATATATATAATAATTTATGTACTTATTGAGTGAATTGGCCAAAATATAACAATAAGTGTCACATAGGACGCAAAAAAATCTCGTATCAGCGAGCCATTTTGGCCTGCACTGCAAAAACAATAAAAGTTACATGAATGTAATTTAGAGTGAAAATGTATCTCTTAAATAGTTCTACAAAAGAATCCGCAACACCATATATCTATTTTTAATGTGTAAGCCATTACCGCTAAAATAGTGAAACAAAAATATTATTTGATATCTATTTCCAAAATGCACATTTTGTATTATTTTTTATCAAAACAAATACTTTTATCGCTTTTGATATTTAAAGACGATAAACTTTGCCTTTTACACTATGTCATTTTGACAAATATTTAAAAAGTTACAACGATGATAAAGTGATAGCGCGGTATGTATGAGTAGACTGCGGGAATACTAAGACAAGAAATTTAATTTAAGTGTTTATAAACGTAGATAAAACCTAGGCGAAACCAGACCGGGACCCATTAGATATTCAAGAATACATAATATTTTTCAATAATGAGTCCCGACTGTCAAAGTAGCTTTGTTCCTTATTAACAGAATTAAAAACTACTGGATTTGTTTTTTTCTTTTCAGTTTTTATTTGAAGTATAATTAAGCAATCGGGTTTTTTGATTTTATAATTTAACCTTTTTTTCTCGCCTAGGTTTTATTATTTTGATAAATACATAATTGCATTTATTAAGGTAAACAATCTTGGCACAACTTTTTAACAAAATCACCCATTTAAAAATAAAATATTAACGAAGCCAATAAACTATTAAAATAAATCGTTATTTTAGACTGAAACCTATTAAATCCAGTTATCAATTGATTTTTAATGCTGTATTTTCAATAAAAAGGAGTGCCAAGATTGTTTACCAATTAAGACAAATTGGATGAACAGACTGTAGTATCTAGTAACAGAACTTTTATTTTTTATTTTTTTAAACAGATTGTCCGTTTACTATGATTAATTGCTAATAAGTTAAAAAAATAATAGAAAAATAATAGTGAAGTACATTCTTTTGGGCATGCTAGGGCCCATTTCGTCGATGTTCTTTCATAATGTATTGTGCGTAATTGTTTATTTTTAACGTCGTTCCAACCGGGTGTTTCTAACACGCTTGTTTTTGAAGTTATACTTCTTTAGCCGCGTTATGAAAAAATTATGAGAGTGAAATTTTAAGATGCGCGCGCATCACTGTAACACAAAAGTAACATAATGAAGTTAGCCGCGGGCGCGTTATATGTAATATTTTATTTTCCAAGTGACCGTGGGGCAGATTTGAACAAAGCAAACAGGGCAGATTTGAACGGGACATTGAAATGAAATGGAATGGAATGAAATGAAATGAAATGGAATGAAATGGAATGAAATGGAATGGAATGAAATGAATTGATGAAATGGAATGGAATGGAATGAAATGAAATGTCATTTATTCAGTCTAGGCTGTTACAAGCACTTGTGAAGGTCAAGAAGCTACGCCATCGGTTCGCAAAACTACGGCGGGAGACCTTGTACTGAGAAGAACCGGCAAGAAACTCAGCAAGGGCTGTTTTTTTCTCCTTGTATTGTTATATACAGTGTCGTCAAGTTGAAAAATTACTTCAGAAATACGTCTGAAGTCACTTTCCATTACATCATCTAGAATATAAATATATAGTTACAATTAATTGTATAGTTAACATTTTAAGTAGTATATAGGAAGCGGCATTAGATAGGTACAATATTACTGTTATGAAAAATTACTAATACCCATTTAATATCAAATTATAAGAAACACTATGTCCATGCATTACGATCATTTAGATAATCATCAACTTTATAATAGCCCTTATTCATAAGAGTATTTTTGATCTGAGATTTAAATTTAGTCAGTGGAAGCTCAATCAGATCTTGGGGAACTTTGTTAAACAATGCAATACTACAACCCAGAAATGAACCTCTTGATTTTTGGAGTCTGAAACATGGAACGGCAAGCTTATTCTTAAATCTCGTGTTAAAGTTATGGGTTTGACTTTTTTGAAGTTATACTTCTTCTTTAGGCGCGTTATGAAAAAATGATGAGAGTGAAATTTTTAGATGCGCGCGCATCACTGTAACCCAAAAGTAACAGCATTCAAAAAATTCAAAATTCAAAAATTCAATATCGTTTATTCAGTCTAGGCTGTTACAAGCACTTGTGAATGTCGAAAAGCTACGCCATCGGTTCGCAAATCTACGGCGGGAGACCTTGTACTGAGAAGAACCGGCAAGAAACTCAGCAAGGGCTATTTTTTTTCTCCCTGTATTATATACAGAGTCATGAAGTTGGCCGCGGGCGCGTTATGAATGTTAGTGTCTAATAATGGTGGTGATGTCTAATAATCCACCATTATTAGACATCTGTTCGAAAGGTACTTTGAACGATCCACGGAGCTCCTTAAGATGATCGCGTTGTCAAAAACAATGTTGGCACGCTCGTCGCCTCTGATCACTGTTTTCATATTTATAATATTTATCCACATGTTTCTAGTTTCTATATAGACACAACGTGTTTTAGTTACTTACAAGTGCTAATTACATATGGACTAATAACTTAATTCAGTAGTGATTTTAATTGAATATATTTATTTAATTTTTCAAATTAAAACTGAACTTAATTGACTGTGTTAACTATCCTTTTCCAGTCCTTTTATTATTTTATTATAATTATTAATTGTTTGCATGCAATTAAAAAATATTTTTAATGATGCTAAAGAAGTATAACTTCTCACGCGCGTACATAAGTTACACGCATACATTTTTTTTATTTTCCCTCTTGCAAAATTACGCATTATATCTTTTAGGGGCTAAGTGTCTACTGACTTTGTGCAGCCCCTAAAGGATTTGCATAATTGTAGACACTTCTTGTTACGACGCGGTTCATTATCACAGGAAACCGCAGACACAGTAATGGCCGGTTGCTATGGAGTCGATTCTGCTAAGTTAAAGTTAGAATGCAAAAGCATGCAAATACAGGGGTACCTATACTCCGAATATGATTTGTCACATTCCGTGTCCGCGACCCTTGGTCCGTGGGGTCCTAGCGCTATAAAGCTTTTTAAGGAAATAGCAAAAAGGTTAGTCGACATCACTGTAGACCGAAGAGCTGGCAGCTACCTCGGACAAAGAATTAGTTTACCTATTCAAAGGGGGAACGCTGCCAATATCTTCGGCACCTTGCCTAAAGGACTCCTTTCAATAATATATTTTGGTTATTATATTATTTATTTTTCAAGGTTGTTAGTTTTAAGTTCATTGTTCCAGTACATATTATTATTATTATTTTTAATCCATAAGTTTTTATGATTTAAGTTATTATTACCAGTTTGTATTATATTAAATGCATAAATGCCAATTTAATTGACTTGTCAATTGGATAAAGAAACTTTATTTATTTATCTAGATTTCAAGTAAGAATCGTGTATCGATGTTGTTTAAGAAGTTTTAATTTTTTACAATCTGAAGGTAGCATTTAGTTGTCTGAAACCCTGCATAGTCGCCTGACGCGAGCGACGGCAATGTCAGCGACTGCTATAACGCCACTCTTCCTGCAGCTCCCGAAATTAAAAGCAGTGTTTTAAAAAGTGTCACTAAAACAAAAATAAAACGTAAAAATAAAATAAATGAATAATCAAAAAATAAAAATCGACTTCAAAATCTAAAAGTAAAAAAAAGCTGCTTCACACGAAATCGGGCGGGTCAAAATATGATTTAAGAGTGGAACTGAGCCAAGATTAATAGATAGAAAAATTTACGTGATTCAATCAATCTTTACGATACGATACGAGTACGATTGTAAAGAAATTGGATAATGTTGCTTATTTCTTCTGTGCCGGATA